TAACTATTCCAGGATAACCCTGCAAAATTGCCCCTTCATGGTTCTGTCCTTGAATTTAATAATAATAATAATAATCCTTGCATTTGATATAGTTTTCACGTCTTCTAGACTTCTCAAAGCACTCCACAGAATATGCTGTAAAGTGAATTGACTGTATATTTGTGGGCGAACGCGGCAGCCAATTGCACACAGCAGTGTCCCACAAACAGTTGTGGATTGAAAATGACCAATTTTATTATTGTTTTATTTTGGAGGGATTATTAGGCGTGTGGAGTAAGGAAACTTGCCCAAGGTTTCGCTCTGCCTGGAATTGAACCCAGGTGTCTCGCTTGCAAGGCGAGTGTTCTAACCACTGAGCACCAGGACTCCACAATGGTTCAGGTCCTACCTCTCACATCATCTCCACTTCAACTCCACAAACGGCTTCTCCTCTAGCCCTGCACTATCTTGTGCAGCGTTCCTCAGGGCTCTGTCCTTGGTCCCCTCCTCTTCAATATCTATATGCTCCCTCTTGGTGGCATCATCCACAGACATGGTGTCAACTTCCACATGTATGCGGATGATACCCGACTCCATCTCTCTGTCTCCATCCTCGACTCCAGGACTACTGCTGCCCTGACAGAATGTGGTGAGCCTCCACACCTCAGGCACAGACAGCATCACCCCCATGGCCTTACTCCCCCCTAGCTCTGCGACCTCCTAATCCCCTACCAACCTGTCGGCTCCATCCGCTCAGCGGGTTCCGGCCTGCTTCACGCTCCCCACCTCACCCGCTCCACCATTGGCAGACGGGCCTTCAGCCACTCTGCCCCCACCCTCTGGAACTCCATCCCGCAGTCCCTCCGCCTCACCCCCTCCCTTGCCTCCTTCAAGACCCATCCCAAGACCCTCCTCTTCAACTGTGCCTTCGTTCTCCCTCCTTTCCCCCCTGCCCTCCCCCCTCCCTGATCCCAATCCTCAGCTCGGATCCAAAACATGTTCTGTCCAGCGCCTTGGGATGTCCTCATGATGTGAAATGTGTTATACAAATGTAATTTTGTTACTTTTGGTGGTGCTGTCCTGACAGAATGTCTGTCAGATATCAAGTCATGGATGAGGCTAACTTTCTACAGTTGAACATCAACAAGACCGAGAACCTCTTCTTTGACTCCCGTTAGCAACTCCAAACTCAGGCACTGGTAGCATCACCGTCCATGGATACACATTCCACCATCCATGGATGCACATTCCACCTCACTGAGCCAGTCCGGAAACTTGGCATCCTGTTTGACTCTCCACTGTCCTTTCTGCCCCACATCCATGGCATGACCCGTGGAATCCTGTGGTTAGAGCACTCGCCTCAAGCGAGAGATCTGGGTTCGATTCCCGGCAGGGCGAAACCTTGAGCAAGTTTCCTTACTCCACATGCCTAATAATAATCCCTCAAGAAAAAAAAACAATAATAAATCGGTCACTTCAATCCACGACTGCTTGTGTTGAAGACATTTTACCCACTAATATACAGTCAATTCACTTTACAGTATATTCTGTGAAGCGCTTTGAGACGTCTAGCAAGGGTGAAAAGCGCAATATCAAATGCAAGGATTATTATTATTATTATTATGACCCATTCTGCCTCCGCAACATCGCCTGGCTCTGCCACTGCTTCACCCCTCAGGCCACCAAAACCCTCATCCACTCATTCATCACATCTAGGCTCGACTACGCCAACTCCCTGTTGTCGGCCATATCAACCTGTCCGTTCCCGTCGCCCGTCCGGCCAGCCCCACCATCGGTGTTTGGGCCTTCAACTCTCTGCTCCAGTTGTTTGGAACTCCATCCCACAGTCCCTTCGCCTTGTTCCCTCCCTTGTCTCCTTCAAGGCACATCTCAAGACTCTCATCTTCGACTGCGCCTTCAAGCACCCTCCTACCCTCCCTTTCCTCCACCCTCCCTGATCTCAACCCTCTGCTTGGGTCAAATTTTCCCAATGTGAACGGTGCTATACAAATGTAATTTGTTATTTTTGCTGGCGGTGGATTCACCTGGGGACAATCTGCGCTTCACCCACCATCTTTAACATTGGACCAACCAGTGGGATATGGTGGTAGACACCCCCAACTGCGGAATCATGGTTCTGCACAGCCCAAGGGAAAGCATCAAGGGAATTGATTGGAAGATTGTTGACTCTTATTGGTACCTCGGGGTTGAGATGGACACCAACTTCAGCCTACACTGTCCCGAAGGGCCGCACTGAGAAGGGTCAAGGGCATTCTGGTCTTGCTCATCCCTTTTCAAGGATAGCAAGATTCCAAGGCAGGTCAAGCTTGCGGTACACAAGAACAGTGTGCAAACAGTCCTTGCTTATGGATCTAAGCACCTGGAGATGCAGCAGAGAGGCTTCCGCTGATCCATCTGCAAAGCCCAGGATCAGGTAGTGAAGGGGATTTGTGGCAAACATGGGAAGCAGCTACAGGGAGGGAGGGGTCCGGCCTACACTGACGTGTCACTGAGCAACCTGGAGGCAGAGTAGGCTTCACAGCGGGCACGTGTACTTACCAAGGCCCCTCGCATGAGGGGATTGAGCAGCTGGTGCTGAGTAAGCCTGATACATAGCATTGAACTTGGACCTCAAGAACATCAAGGTATCTGGCACGTCACAAGCTGTCCTCTAAAGTCCTCCCACCATGCTGAAGGTAGATGTCTGCCAGATAGCTGATGAAGAACTCTGAGGCTTGGGCCGACAGCTGCTGGAAGGCGTTACCTGGAGTCCAAGTTCGTGACACAGTTTCATACATCCAGCGCCTGGATTGGCCTGCCGAGGGGCAAGCAGCTGCTGCTTAAACTCCACACCTCCAATTGGTGGAATTATCACTCAATGGGAAGGGACATGTGCCCAAGCTGTGGATAGGAAGATGGTGGCAAAGCTCTCAAACATTTTATGCTGAGATACGTTGTCAACCGGGAAGCTCGCAGGGAGTTCCTTGTACCTACCATCCACCTAGGGAGGCTAAAACCGCCCTTGTCAGATGTTGAACAACTAATTAGTGATAATCCTCCTTATGGGGAAGTAAATGGGATCTCCTTGGAGCTGGACTTGCACCAAGGTGACATGCCTGATAATGGAAAACCCTTGGTGCCAGTCTCAGTAGTCCGGTTTCTGAGCCAGGCGGGTCCACAGTATTCCAGGCACTACTAACGACAGGACAGCCAGCCTGGCTCATCAGCAGGACCTAGGATGCAGTCCAGTCACTGGGTTCAGGGATTCCTCCCACTCAGCTCCTGTTAACGTTACAAGCCAAAGTCCTAATGGGTAGTGTAATCCTAGTTGGACAAGCAGCGGGAAAGCTTGCCGGACAGTAATATCAATGGCAAGCTATGCGGTTTTAGCTGGTTAGACTCCAGCAGTACTCCAACGAGTACTTTGGGGTCCCCAAGCCTTGGCTCTTGCCAACCTGCACCTAACGCCTTCCAAAATTGGGTAAGTAGGATGTATCCCTCCAGGGAGAGACTGCACATTCCATTCCAACAATCTATCTTTGGGATTTACATGTGTAGATGGGGTACATGGAAATCTCATGTTGGTTTGGATACTCTTAAGCATGGTGATCACCCGGCTGAACAAAAAAGAAAATAGCTGCATGAGACATAAGAACAAAAGGAATGCTGGACGAAAAAAAGATCAAAGTCCATCTAGTTCACCTTCCACTTTCCTGGCGGTCGCATGTGCATATGTCCCGAACTACCTATGTACTATATCCCATAATGTTATTTCCCAAAAGAAAACTGCTTAATTTGTGTTTGAAGGAATCAACATTTCCTGCTTCAACAGTCTCCCTAGGAAACCTGTTCAACAGGTTTACTATTCGCTCACTGAAATATTATTTCCGCACATTCGTTCTGAATTTAGCCCCCTTCAATCATAGGCCGTGTCCTCTGGTTTTACTATTCTGTAAAACCAGAGGCACCTGTACGTTTGCTATTGAAACATGGAAGGTTGTTCAGAAGGTTTTTCTTGCAAGGGTCACTGAGTCAAACAATGTCCAGACTGCAGTAAGCATACAGCCATAAATTCTTAGGCACTTCAGGACTTGTGTAATGGTGTCTGCAGTTCTGAGCTCACCTGGTATAATCACACACCTCAATTCATCTCTTAAAATTTATGAACTCTCATCCACTAAACTCCAGCACATATACCTCTCCTTCTACTGTCAATCATTGGCAGCCTCAAGCACAAACCACGCTTTATCTCCCCCACCATTCACCATCAGTCACTGACATCCCTAGCTCCAACACACACAGCCTCCCTCTTCACTATCAGTCACTGACAATCCTTAACTCCAACCCCCACACCCATACACATATAGACACACATCTACACTGTCAGTCACTGAGACTGCTGGAGTTCAATATGCACTCCGCCCCCACCCCACACACACACACATATAGATACACACCGATCACTGAATTCATTTGTAGGAAGACTGAGAAACCAAGTTATCTTGCAATTAACTATCATCATCCTATAAATTGTGAACGTTTAACAGCTACTCACTTTTGGGTGAGCTCGGGATATTTAATCAACAAAGCACCAAAGGGCTGTAGCATTCTCGGACTTTCACACATTATGAATTTCTGACACTGACTCCTGCCCTCCATGTATAGATATTATGGCTTTTTCACACTCAATGGACAACCTCAGTAATACATCACTACCTACACATCACCTGTAACCAAAACAAATCATCAGCTCATATCAGCACACACAGTCTGCCCTGGAACTGAAATCCCTAAAGAAAGAGTGTAGACTATGGCTCCCTCTTGAGCCTTCAATCTACCCCCTTCCACCTCCATCAGTAGCTTAATGTGAGATGAAACAGATTTAAGTTGCACTGGGGACTATGCAGTTGCATTGATTAAATGGTTAACACACTCACACAGAAATCTCCCACAATCTAATCATCTGCCTCTAAAGGATTACTTGCCCTGTCTTTCTCTTTCTTATTCCCCACAGCTCCTACCTTTATTTCTCTTGGGAAAAACAGTCGCACAAACATTTGTGGAAAATATAAGCAGGATCAGAGTTCTTCCTTGCATTTTCCCAAGGCAGTGAGTGCGAGGTAAAAGAGTGCTCTGAGTCTCCAGTCACCAGCCAGTCTGAAATGCTGTCAGAAGCTCCTGGAATAATTCAACTGCACTGGCTCTCTGTCAGCTCATGCAGAGTCTCAACAACATGTGGTGCACATCTGCAGGCATGCGTGCCGTCATTCAGTCAGCTGCTTGCTGACTGTCTCTCACACACTAACAGACATACACACACATATACACAGGGTGGGTACCAAAACGTCATGATACCTACCCTATTATCTAAAAACAAACAAAAATATCATAATTTCTTTAAGACATTGTAATGGTATCACAACTCTTTGGTCACCCTGCACATATTGCCTACATAAGCCCACCAAACAGCTGTTCAGAAGAGCATCATTTGGCATTGGCACACCCCAGTCAGGGGATTTTACTGGGTGCTGGGCAATCCTGACTGGGTTTTGCATTTAGATGATAGCAATGGTGTGCAATTATTTCTCATAAGCTTCTAATAAATCCCAGTGAAAATTTCAGGAGTGCGTAAAGTAATTGGCTGACTGGCCTGCTAGCTTCAGCGCAGTGGATGTGCTGCTTGGAGAAGACATTAGCTCTTGGCTGTGTTTACATCACAGTTTTGAGTGCAAACTTGGAAGAATCATAAACAGCAATGTCAAAGGAGGACAAAAATAGTGAAAAGCAAGCACAACTCAACAGGTTGCTTCATTCAGACCTCAGGTGCAAGGTCTAAAAGAGTCAATGACCTGGCGAGAAATACAGTTACTATGGACCGTGTGGAAACCCAGCACAGTGTCTCTATACACTTCTTTCAGAAGGGAGGTACAAATGAGGCCCTCCGGCCCATTTGTTATCATCCTTCCAGAGTTCTGTAACCCCATTTATTTAATTCCCACTGAATCTCTGTCATATATCTAAATACAGATAACATATTTGTGGATCAAGAAATGCAAGCACTAACACAACAGTACAGAGTGAGAGTTAGCACTCCGAGACAAGGTGCACATGAAGGGTACTATATTAACGCAAGTTGTTGAGGGGACACTGGCTAAATCTTGCATTCTCCTGTGAGGATAGACATTGAAGTGCTACATAGGCACTTTCCTTGTGGAGCAATTGAAGGGTATCTTGTGCAGGACATTCTTACGAGCATGATAGACTTTCAAGAGCAACAGTTAGTCACTTTCTCGAACAGAACCGAAATGCCTATGACTGATATTAGTACATGTTGGTGTCTGTTAACCCTTTAGGCATTTGGAAGTTCTGAGTCAGGAGAATAAGCAGGTCTGAGGAACAGGGCAGATCACAAGGTCAATCGGTCATTGTGGAGCCAGCTGTCCAGTCAGTAAAGTCTTGGAGGAGATTGTGTTCCATTGAAGTAGGAAAAAGGACTTGTACTTTTTTGGGGTAAATCGGGTGTTTCAAATGAATCAAACTCATGCTTAATTGTATCCAACCAGACTCAGAGTTCCATATATGTATGCTAAATACACATGGAAATTTCCCTGCATCTGCAATAGAATGTGCACTCTCTCTGAAGAGTATTAATAATACTAATCATAATCCTTGCATTTGATATAGCGCATTATCATGTCATTGAGACGTGTGTATTTTGTGGGTGAAACTCAGCATGGCAAGAGCCAAGGCTTGGGGACCCCAATGTGTGAGATAGTTTTGAACCAGATAAAACCGCATAGCTTCCCATTGAGAACACTGTCTGGCAAGTTTCCGGCAGCTTGTGCAACTATGATCATCCTACCCTCTAGAGCTTAGCCTTGTAGGGTTAGTGGGAGCTAAGTAGAAATACTCCCTGCAGAATCCCCAGTGCCACAGTAAGTTCTGCTGATGAGCCAGGTTGGATGGATCCTATATGGATCTGCAAGAAAAGGCAAAGCGCCCTGGGATGCTACCGCATGAAGTGCGCTATATAAATGCAGGTTGTTGTTGAGCCTGTACAGAACTGCACTGATGGGCAATGAGATGGGCCTGGAGCATAAAAGTGCTGAATGATGTTATAATTATAATAATAATCTTTATATTTGATTTTGCATGAAATGCCAAGAAAAACATCAGCTGTTATCCTGATACTGACTCTGCTCACAAGCAGTAATGCCAGGAATGCAGTTCTTTTACGATTTTTTTTACAATTCTGATGGCTAAGAAACATTTTTTAGATGGGGACCAGATTTTTGAAAGTGGTCCAAAGTGTTCCGAATGGGAACATATCTGAGCAGACTTCGAAATGCTATATTTCCAACTCGGTTGTTAGTTCAATAACAATTTCAGAGTCCTGATCATAAGTAACCCTCATGTTATGGAAGCTGAACGGAAGTCACACCACCAGTGCGATTCTGCATCAAATTTGGCATTTCTCTGAGAAATGGTGAACAAGCTCATACAGACAGGGGCCTGCACTTGCTGTCTGCTCGTCAGTACATCTTGTTTGATCATAAAATAAGAACACATTTAAATCACACAACAGGCTATATAAATTTTAAAAAATCTGAACAACACGTGTTAAAGCTAGCACCAATACAGCAGAGAATCAACATTTCAGCCGTTTGCAAACTCAGGAAGTAAGCATATTAAGTTGTAAAAGCCTAAAGGATATTTAGCAAAATACCTTTGTTTATGAAAATCCAACACAATCATCTTTATACCTTGCCAAATTCCTGGCCAACAATATCTAATGTATCAATGCTGGGAACAGAACACTTTCACTCTGTGTACCATTATCGTGCTTGATATGTATAGCATGGATTATCTACGAAGTAAATTTCCTTCTATACCACTACATAAAGCACAGTATGGGTTAGATGTAAAGATCCCGCTGGACTATCTTGAGTGTTCCGGATCAGGTATAGCATGTGTTAGATTCACAGTACATCTCCATTCACTCTGCACCCAACCTGTCGTCACTGGAACACCCCCAAGTGTGGCAATATGAAATTTCCATTCTCCACCTTAACCATCCTTGTAATCTCACTGAGCAAAACTGAGAAGTTAGTATTAAATCAGTGCAGTTCTGTGCCGTTGATTGTATAATGGTAACCATACTATTTGCCAGCTCAAAGAATTTGAGGGTTTGGTTCACAGTGTTGAGGGCATCTTGTCCGTGGTGAACTGTGCTGAAACTGCCCAAATGTATCGAACATAGAGTGACTAAGGAGAGAAGAGTGCTTGTCCCATTAATATCAGTTTGATACAAATCCAGGTCCCAGAGGTGAAAGAACAGTGTCTAAATTGCTGCACCCCCAGTCATCAAAATTAGTTGCTAGAGTGGCTCAGAGATAATAAAATGTGTCATGTGGGAAAGCCTTCATTTTATAGGAGTTAAATCTACCTCAATTCAAACTCAAGGAATAAGTATAATATAATCTAGGCTTGATTCCCATCTCAGACTGACTCTTGAGCTTGGAACATTTGGATTATTTTGAAACTGGTTGACTGGAAAGGCAAAAATTCCTTCTAGTCTCTAGAGTTGCTTGAGCCTTATTGGTTTCATATTGAAGTCCTCAGCTTCTGTGCTCACAGTCCAAGTCAAATAATCTGCCTGAGGCTAATAGGCTACACATTGCAGTGCAGCCTCGACTGTAGAAATATTTGACAGCACATTTATTTAAAGGTGTGAGGCTGAGTTCACTCTGGTTTGTGGTTACCGATTGAAAAATATGGTATTAATGGCCATTATACTAGTAAGGTCACAGCTCTCCTTATTCTGTTTCCTTCCCCCTCCCCCACCGCCTCTCCCACTGGAGGAACAGCTAATCAACTGTTTAGTAGCCACAGAAGAGGCTTGCAGTAGAGCTGTACATATTTCTGATCTGTTTGGGAAGACGAAAAGGTCCCATAAATTTGTGAAACAGTAGCTACCGTGACCTCTCAAAGAGCCTGTCTGCAGCTTGCATTTGTTCACTGACTGTTCAGAGGGCAGTGTAAGAGTGTGGTGGAAACGTGTGCCATTGACATTTGTGGTTTGGATGGAGATTTACTTGTATTAGTGACATCACTGCAGGGAAGGTAGAAAGCAAGATGAGAGGGGGAGATTTGGAACTGAATTTACTGCCTGCCCTCAAGAAAGTATTGGTGAGGGTGTTTCAATGAAGTGTAATTAAAGACGGCACTTTAACAGTGTGCAGTCAAAATCCTCCTTCCCTTCCCTTGCTCAGCATCCAACTCCACCACAGCCCAGCGCACTGAGACATTGTCATGAAGGGCGCAATTTGAATGCAAGTATTGTATAAGCTATCAGATTGTTTGGGGTTAGTTTCATGACAATAGTTTGGACTTTTGTCCATTTTGTCACTATTAGGGTCATACTTTCTACCCTCCAGTACTGCTCCAGTGTATTTGGAGCAACTCAAAAACTTCAGATATCATTAATGTCCTCCTATTTCCTTTTAAGATTAACATGGATCTCACCCAATCCAGATTCCTCTAAATCTTCTCCCAGGTCACACTAATATTGCTCACTCTTATTATTCCATTAATAGAGAAACTCTCCTCCCCATCCCACCACCACCACCACACACACAGTGTAACATGCCCATCTGAAGCACAACCCTCAATTGCCAACAGGGACAACAGGCTGAGGTGTTCCTGTGTCTTGCCTGCACTGTTTATCCAACTCAACAGAGCAAACCAGAGCAGTGGCTCTGGCTTTATCCTTTGCAGTTCCACCACAGCACATGTGATAGCCAGGCATCTAGCCCCATAGAGTTCACATCAGAGTACTGGAAGTGCCTGAACAGCTCATTCTGTGTTTGCATGTAGTACAGATGGATTTGAGGAGATGTTTTTAACAAACAGGAAATGTCTGAAGGAAGATGTTGTGCGTAAAGTTGGTTTGATCTCGACTAGATTGAAGCCAATTGTTCTGTGCATGTTAGATGTCAGCATTGGGTCAGATACAGTGTAAAGTTTCTTCTGCATTTTTGCTTCAGGAAGTTGTGTTAGCTGCAGAATAAAAAGGACTCTTACATTCCTTCATTAGGCAGTCTCTGGTCCTGTTATAATTATAATCATCCTTGTATTTGCATCTTATCACGCTGTCAAGACGTCTCAAAGCGCTTCACAGGATTTTACTGTGAAGTGTAGTGATTATGTATTTGTGGCTGAGCGCGGCAAGCAATTTGCACACAGCCAAGTCTCACAAACAACCATGAAGTGAGTGAATAATTTTATTTTATTTGGGGGATTGTTGGCCAGGACACCAGGAGAACCTCCATTCACTTTTCGGATAGTGCCATGGGATCTTTAACGTCCATCTGAACTCAGTTTAACGCCTCACACAAAAGACAGCACATCCAACAATGCAGCAGATCCCTACCACCACACTGGAGTGTCAGCCTTGGCCATGTATAGGATGAATCAGATGCCCCACCTAATTTAGTGCATCTTGGCATTGTGTGCCCACCCAGCACCGTAACTGGCTTTGGGACGTCTTCCTGACATGAATGGCGCTATATAAATGCAATTTGTATTGTATTTATTATTGTACTGAGACATCAAATGCAATTGAATGGACTTGAAATCTAATCTTACAGCATCTCACAGCAGAATTTGTTTAATTTGATTGTCATCTTGCCTCCCAGAACACCATCAAATCCTCCACTTGAGTTCATGGCTTCAGTAAAATCAATGCAAATCAACAGAGCGAGAGACGAAAAAAAGCAGCAGACAAACACCCTCAAGTCAGCCACCTTCCCCAAGAACGTCCCATCACTCACAACAGCTGTACTTGTACAAGTGTGAACACAAAGTATCACACGCAGTTGAACACAGCGGGTTGCACAATCAGAGCCCTATTCACATAGCGTTACATGCCACAGGGCCCTGCAGGAGCTGGGTTTTTATTGCAAGTCTGAGACCAGCAGGGGTTGGTTTGCACTGAGCCTGCAATACAAGTGCACAAGACACCTGAAATCTGACCTCAGCCAGGGTGTTGCCTTCAGTCAAGGAGTGAAAAATTATTATTCAGATTTGTGACTGTTGCTGTTGCTGGATATACAGGTGCTCAGGGGAGAGCAAGGGGAAGGCTTGACTCCCATACACCCTACAGTCAAATGCCCTGTCGACACTCACTAAGGACAGTCGGTGATAATAACATGGAAACTGCAGTATTAATGCAGCTTCCTACCTCTGTGACCTGATAACCCCATATCGATGTGAACGGTGCTATACAAATGTAATTTGTTTTGTTGTATTGGAGTACAAACTCATAATAACAAAGCACATTTTCCGTATCTCACAGAGGCCATGGGGTCAGCCTCTAGGCCTCTATATGCCAATTTTCGGTAACATGTGGAGCTGGATCCTTTGGATATCTAAGGCTTCTTAGATGAAGCTTCATCCCACAGTCCCTCCGCCTCGCCCCTTCCCTTCTTCAAGATCCATCAGAAGACCTTCCCCTTCAACCATGCCTTTGGTCAACCTCCTATCCCTACTCTTCCCACCCTCCATCCCTCCCGATCCCAAGCACCAGCTCAGGTGATGGATCCCTGACTGACCAGTGCTTTGGCACGTCCTTCTGACATGAAAGGTGCAATACAAATGTAATTTGTTGTTGTTTTCCATGAAGATACTTGTGTAATTTTCCTCGCTGTCTGCACAGGATGAAAATAAAGTGCCAGCACCTGATGCCAATAAGTGGGCTTTACAGCAGAACTTGATACTGTCCGCATACAATGTCCTCCCACAAACATTTGTATAGATTTACATTGACTATACAGCTCAGAAACCAGCCATTTGGCCCAACTAGTCGTGTTCGTGTTCATACTCCACAGGAGCCTCCACCCACTCCTCACTCTCTCCCATTCACTTATCCCTCAAAGGAGAGGTCCTCCATTGGACAGTGATCAGAAGAGGAAGCTCCCACAATTTACATGTCAGCTGTACTTGCTGGTGCAATGTAATGGGGGGGGAAAGACTGGTTTATTGCGCTGGTGGCTCTCCATTCAGTGTAATCAGTGTGGAGGGGAATATTTATGTGCTCCAAGACATTACCGGTGTAAAGGGCACTATCTAAATGCAAGTTGTGGTGACAAGCACGACTCAGCCACCAGTGTTGACTGAGGACCCATTCTCACACGGGTTTATAGGACCAGATTCCTTTCAGCTAAGGAATGATAATCCACAGCACCAAAGCTGTCCACAAAGCTGAAAAAGTGTAGTATCGTGGGCAGGGCATGAATAATGCACAGCTTGCACCCTGGCCATTGGCACGAGAACACTTTAAAAGAAAAAAATCTTTCTCAGTGGCTTCCCTGAGGATGCCACTCAGACACTGGGGACCTCTCCATGCAGATTCTCTCTTGTAAATTATCTCTAGACTTGTGTTTCTTTTCAAAAGCATCTGTCTTTTACTCTACCCCTATTAGCTGTGCACATCGACTCATCTCCCTCAACATTTGGCTCTGCAACACCAAACAAAACAGGCAGCACAGGTCAGGGCATACTCTTTCTACCAAGTCTAGTCTTTGATGCGTCTGTAGTTAGGACAGTAGCTGTCAGGGCATGTTTGAGAACCTCAGACTGGAGATGGTTCACAGCTGGGAACAGAGAGGAGAATCTCGGGGGAAGAGGAGATAAAGGTTTGTGTAATGCTCTTTGTCCGTCAGGACTTGGAGAGTTCACGCTGTACTTATTCCCCACATTTTAGCCTTAAAACAGAGAGAAAAAATTCCCCATTCTTTGCCAAAGCAAAATTAATATCCAAAACAACATGATACCATTCTTTGCACAGATATGATAAAGTCCACCATGTTTGGTTACATTTCTACACATTCCTATTCCAAGGTTAATTATTACCTTTGATAATGCAGCATTCTCCTGAAATGATGATTCCTCAACCTTTTGACCCAGAGTCAGGAGAGCTACTAGCTGAGCCCAGCAAAGTGTGAAGAAAGAAAATAACTAAATGCCTGAAGTTGCGCCTTCCCTTTATTATTCATTGTATCCCTTGCTGAAGAATACATTTCTTGTCAGTATTTGCAGGTTACCCTTTAACCTGTGGCAATCCCCCAAGTGATTGAGCGTGTGCAGCAGATTTGACCTAAGGGTATCTAGTTCTAGTTCTTATGCAAACAGCCCTGAAGTTGGATTTCCATGCGTTAGGCAATGTGTACTTGTCCGATTGGATGTTTCAGGTTTAACTTCGCGATTAAAAAGACACTTGTTGTCCTGAACAAAATAGATTGAGCCAGGTCTATCCAGAGGAAGAAACAACCAGCATTGGAAAAGCCCGAGACTCGCTGCTAGATCCACGTGGTAACCACGTCTATTTCCACTTTGTTTCACAGGTTTTCTGCTTTCTGTAACTGATCCCCCGGGAGGCAGTTGCAAGCTGGAATCAAATCGAAGGGGTTGTAATGGTTTTTTTTATAGAATAAACACCTAGGAATGAATTCCAGGTTTGAATTTAATCAAGGGGTTCAGATGTTTTATATGTATGATTCATAAGTTTCTAGTCTAGTATTGGAGAGTTGCTAAAATCACATGGGAATGTTTTTGCACCAGTATCAGTTAATAAACTTGTATGGGACAGTTACTTGAATAGTATCAGAGAGTTGCCACACTAGTATTAGAGAATAACTAGACTATTATAGGAGAGTGCCTCATCGAGTTAGACTACAATTAGAGAGTGACTAGTATTAAAGCTACAGCACCAGAATTAGAGATTTATCGGACTGGTTTTGGAAAGTTACAGAACTGGTATTGGAGAGTTGTGGAGTCCTGTAGCATTCATTAGAGCATTCGCCTTGCAAGCAAGAGGACCTGGGTTCGATTCCAGGGCAGGGCGAAACGTTAGGCAAATTGCTTTCCTCCACGTGTTTCTGCTTACCTAGTAGTAAGTAGGAACCCGGATGTTGGCTGATCCCTTTTCTGGGGGTAATAATCCCTTAAAAATAATAATAATAATTTGGTCACTCAATACACAACTGTTTTGGGATAGTGCTGTGCACAATTGGCTGCTGTGTTTCGCCCACAACATATACAATCAATTCACTTTACAGTGTATTCTGGGAAACACTTTGAGATGTCTCGAAGACATGATAAGGTGCTATACTAGGTTTATTATTTTTGTTATTATAGTTACAGGAATAGTATTGGAGAGATACAGGATTGTTATTGGAGAGTTAGATTGATGTATTTTACTGTTATAGTTAATTGCTGACACTACGAATTACAAGATGACTTCCACCCTCGGCCCATTGCTGCTCATTCTGATGTGCACCAGCGTCCAGCTACACAGTGACTACACAGTGGGTGGCCAATTGTGCGAGTCTGCGTGCGTGGAGTGGGAGTCAACATACTACTGCTCCTACCTTGTGGATGGCGTTCGCAAGATGTCCATCTGCACACCTGCCAAAACGGTTTAAGATTAAAGGGAGGCAGGGTCCCCAGCAATGTCAGCTAAAATGAAAAGCAGATAAATGGCAGTGTGCAATTTCTATTTGGCAAATCCCCATTGTGTGTTGGCTTTTTTGCCTGTTCACCTTTGCATTCTATGCTGAAAATGTAACCTTTATCAGTAATACTAGAAGCTTTGACCTTTCGTCACAATCTGGAGGTGTGATCTCTTTATCTGTCACTTATTATTGTTAAAGCCACTGGCTATGTTATACTCTGATATTTGTAGCAATGCTTTGTACCAACGTAGCTTAAATATAAGCATATGCATCAGCCCTTTTTGTGTCTTCTTATATCCAATAACTTACATTTTCACAGGGCCTTTTACATAAAAAGACTACTATGTGCTTTAAAGAATGAGATTAATTAAAATGAAGTAAATGTGGCTTTGGAGGCAAACAATAGAGCTAATTTGCAGTCACAAATTCATGAAACAACACCTAAATAACAGATGAATGCCAACAAATTTCAATTTTGGAGGACATTTGGCTGGAGGCGAGAATGCAATGAAGACAGTCTCTGAAGAAAATATTTTCACTTCTTACGTGTGGCTCTAACACTGCCTGGAAGCAGGTCATTGCAGGAGATTTGGATTCCAGTGCAACAATCAGGAGTTTCCGACCATTCTTACAACAAGTCTCAAAAAAAATAAACAACAACAACAAGATTCCATTTATTGAGCGCCTTTCACGTCGGGAGGACGTCCCAAGGCGCTGTACAGTTGGGTCAGGACCCGAGCAAGGGGGAAATGGTCAGGGTGAGGGGAGGGAAGGGAGGGAGCGAGGAGGGGGTAGAGAGTCGAGAGGGGAGCTGAAGGCACGGTCAAAGAGAAAGGTCTTGAGACCGGCCTTGAAGGAGGAAAGGGAGGAAGCGGCGAAGGCACTGGGGGATAGAGTTCCAGAGCCTAGGGGCTGAGAGGCTGAAGGCCCGGCCACGATGGTAGGGCGGTTGGGGCGGGGGATGTGGAGCAGATCGGAGCCAGAGGAACGGAGGGTATGGGCAGGTAGGTAGGGGGATAGTAGGTCGGAGAGGTTGGAGGGAGCGAGGCCGTGAATGGCCTTGTAGGTGAGGATGAGGATCTTGAATTCGATCCTCTGGGGGATGGGGAGCCAGTGGAGGTGAGCGAGGGTGGGAGTGATGTGGTCCCGAAGCCTGGTGCGGGACAGTACACGAGCTGCAGAGTTCTGAATGACCTGCAGCTTGTGGAGGGAGGTGCCGGGAAGGCCGGCGAGGAGAGAGTTCCCATAGTCCAGCCTTGAGGTGATAAAGGCGTGGACCAGAGTTTCAGCAGCGTGAGGGGTGAGGTAGTGCCGTAGTCTGGCGACATTCCGGAGGTGATAGAAGGCAGTGCCAGTTGTGGCGCGGATATGAGGGAGAAAGGACAGCTCAGGGTCGAACAGAACCCCGAGGTTCCTGACTGGCTTTGAGAGGTGGAGAGTGCAGCCTTGGATGCTGATGCTGTCAGCGCCTGAGGTGCGGAGGCGCTGACGTGAGCCAATCAGGAGGGCCTCAGTTTTGCGCACGTTGAGCTGGAGAAAGTTATCTCTCGTCCAGGACTCGATGTCGGACAGGCAGGCTGTCAGGACATCGGTGGTCGTGGAGTTGAGGGTAGAGGAGGAAAGGTAGAGTTGGGTGTCATCCGCATACATGTGGAAGTTAACCCCATGTCTGCGGATGATGTCACCAAGGGGGAGCATATAGAGGGTGAAGAGGAGGGGACCGAGGACAGAGCCTTGAGGGACACCGCACGAGACAGTGCGGGGGCCGGAGGAAAAACCATTTGTGGAGACAAAGTGAAGACGGTGGGAGAGGTATGACCTAAACCACTCAAGGACAGGGCCTTGAAGGTTTAGGTGGGAGGACAAGCGGTGGAGGAGGATAGCATGGTCGACCGTATCGAATGCTGCCGATAGGTCGAGGAGGACGAGGAGGCAGAGGGAGCCCTGGTCACAGATGGTCAGGATGTCATTGGTGACCTTGACCAGGGCAGTTTCTGTGCTATGGGCAGCACGGAAACCCGATTGAAGGGGTTCGAATAGTGAATGGTTGGAGAGGAAAGAGCGCAGCTGGGAGGCGACAACTCGTTCCAGGACCTTGGACAGGAAGGGGAGGTTGGAGATGGGCCGGTAGCTTGATAGCTGCGACGCATCAAGGGAGGGTTTTTTTAAGGTGGGAGTGATGGTGGCAGTTTTTAAGGGAATGGGAATAGAGCCAGAGGAGAGGGACAGGTTGACGATGTCTGTGATATGTGGGGCAAGGAGGTGGAGCTGGGAGATAAGGAGTGGAGTGGGGATGGGGTCAAGGGAGCAGGTGGGGGGTTTCAGGGAGAGGATGAGTTTGGTGACAGAGGGTGGGGAAACGGGTACGAAGGTGTGTAGGGGAGGATGGGTAGGAGTCGGAGTGTGGGAGGGAAGGGGTGGGTGGTGGGTGGATGTTGGAGGGGAAGTGACCGCGGAGCGGATTCCCTTGATCTTGGATTCAAGGAAATCCAGCATCTCCTCGCAGTGAAGGTTGGAGGAGATGACCTGCGCGGGGTGGCGGGGGGGACGGAGGAGTTGGGATGTGGTAGAGAACAGTAGCCTGGGGTTGTCCTTCGCCTCCAGGATTATCCTGGAGTAGAAGGACGATTTGGCCGAGGCTAGAGTGGAGCGGTAGATTTTGAGGAGGTCCAGCCAGATTTGTCGGTGGACCGTTAGGCCAGATTTGACCCAGGTGCGTTCAGCGGCCCGCACCTGGCTCTTCAGTGAGCGGAGGTGGGTGGTGAACCAGGGGTAGGAGTGAGAGTAGGAGACAGTACGGGAGGTGATAGGAGCAAGAGTGTCAAGTGTGGAGGAGAGGGTGTTGTGGAGGAGGGTGAGAGCAGAAGAGGGGTCGGTGAGGGTTGAAGGCCAGAGGGAGAGGAGTTCAGAGGACTCCAAGGCAGCGATAAAGATCCCTATGCTTCATAAAGGTCTTTCGTATTGAAGCACAAACAGCTTCCACATTGAGAAAGGGTGTAAGTGGGTCTGGCCATTTATTTTCATAAGCCACAACAACTGGCAGCAGAAGGTCCTTTTCTTAAAGAGCCTGACTGATTGAAGGAAATGAGTAGTTTAGACCAGGCACATTTTGGGTCTGTCAGATTAGCCTCCTTCTCTGCTCAATTATTCTTCCTCTGGGGAGGATAGAGATCAGCCAGATTAGCTAACAGGCACCTAGGTAGGTAGCTAGGAAGTGACACCAAATAGTGAGACATGAGCACTTAGAGGCAAAGGACACACCAAAATAAAGGGAGAGGGGACCAAGGAAGGCAGAGAGGGAGGTTTTGACAAGTGTCAGAGGAAGACAGAAGGAGAGAAATCAGACTGGATTAGCAACTAGCAAATGGAATGAAGGTGTGTGGTGTGTAAGGGAAGTACTTAATCCTCCCTCTGGAATGATGCACCACATTATTTTAGTCCTTTACAGCTGAACTGCGCCAAGATGAAGTTCTATTCTAGACAGTAAATAAGCTTAAAGTTCAACAATTTTAAGAGCATGAGTCTGGAGAAAAACACTTAAAAACACTAATAAAGAGGCAAATACTGCCCTCTGACGGCCTGAAAGAATCTAATCTTTCACATTAGCATAAATGTAAGACAAGCCAGCAGCAGATCCAAACCACAGTGTTGTTCCACAGAGGAATTATATAAAACCACTACACAGAGAATGCTGAGAATGGGAAACTCACAGCTGGAAGCTGTGGTTGAAGCCAAAAGCAATTATGCATTTAAAGGGAATCTCAAATGATACACATGAGAGAGAAGGCAACAAAAGGGTACGAGAGGGGAGGGGGGATAGGGGATTAGGAGTGGTGGAGTCTTAAGTGGAGTATTAATACGAGCCAATCGGCCTGTTTCGGTGCTGTACATACAATGTACTTCTATATAATTATTGTCTTCATAAGTTCCCAATGAACTCGTCTAACACATGATCAAGTGTAGGACAGAAAAAATAATAATTTTAATGAAAGTGGATGGTTCTTGCAATAATAATCCTCACAGCTCAAAGTCTCCGTCTTGGGCTTGAGTCCATGTACTCAAGGCCCAAGGCAGAGACTTTGGTTTATGCGGGGAGAAAGTAGACTCCTTTAGCCATCAACCAAACTCCCTAATTTCCATTGACAACCCAATGACAGACAATAATACAGGCAATGATAGCTCCCTCCAGTTTATCACTGCTTGGGTAATTATTGAAAAGTAGTGCCACCTTTTCTATTCTGGCAAGGAGCACATGACAATCCTTTGGTTGATCGAGTCTTAATAATAAAAGCAGAGATGCAGGATAACTATATTATATTATTCATATATTAACAATATAATTATTATATTATATAACTCACAATTTACAGACAATTATAATCCTACAATTTGCAAACAGTGAATTCATTGTGATGTTATTCCAACAGAAGTCGAATTAAAGTTACGACTTTTGTTCTAAGAGGGTCTCTAGCTTACTGTTCAAACACACCTGGGCTTCCTTCTATAATAAAACTCTTTGAAAAGAAACATCCTTTCATTTATGGATTTGAATCTTCTAAGGAGATTACTCTATAAATCACTACTTTTCTTGATTCATTGATAAGATCATCCAGAACTTCTTCCTTACTCCACACGCATGTTTACCTAGCAGTAAGTAGGAACCCGGTTGTTAGTTGGTTGGCGGATCGCTTTTCGGGGGGTAATAATCCCTTGAAAAATAAATAAATTAAATTTTAACAAATAATAATAATAATCATTTGGTCACTCAATCTACAACTGTTTGTGGGCCACTGCTATGTGCAATTGGCTGCCGTGTTTCACCCACAAAATATACAGTCAATTCACGTTACAGTATATTCTGTGAAGTGCTTTGAAACTTCTCAAAGATGTGACATCAAATCACAAGGATTATTATTATGTATTATGAAACACTCACAGACACACACAGAGACATAGACACTCTTTAAACACACACACAGACATTCACAAACACATAGACAGAAACGCAGACACATACAGATGGACCCACATACACTCACAAACACACATACACAGACGCATAGACAATCACAATAGTGGGGCCTCCAAGTAAAGCTCATTTCCGGTTGCGCAGCACCGCGCATGAGTGTCCGGAACCCAGGGGCCAGAAACTACATTTTTAGCGGGTTTGTAGCAGAGGAGGCTGTTTGTAGCGGATTCCGCAGGAAAAGTGCAGACACACTTTTCTATTGCCCCCAGCTCATAACTTACCTCTTTGACCGGGCTTTCGGTAATCTTTCTCCTCCCCAACCCTCTCAGCTCCCATCCCGAGCTCGGGCGCCCATCCACCATTGTCTGCCACTTTGACACATCTTTCTGCCGTGAAAGGCAACACATAAAAGTAGGTTGTATTTTAAGTTGCTTTGTATATTGTGGAGTCCTGTAGCTCAGTGGTCAGAGCACTCGCCTCTCAAGCGAGAGACCTGGGTTCGATTCCCGGCAGGGAGAAACCTTGGGCAAGTTTCCTTACTCCACACTCCTAATAATAATTATTACAGCATATTCAGTGAAGCGCTTTGAGACGTCTAGAAGACGTGAAAAAGCGCTATATCAAATGCAACGATTATTATTATTATTGTAAGGAGTGCAATAAGCTTCACGGATGTGGTACGTGGACTTTCTTCCTTACGTTTTTTAATCACTTCTCCATACACTCCCAGCTTTCAAATTATAAATAGATTTTTTGTCATAACTATATCAAATGGAAGGATTATTATTTATGTCTTGGCCTCTTCTTCATTTCAACAGGTATTGATGGAACCAAATACATTTTTCAAGCTTCATAATAGGGACAGCAATTTACACTTTAGGTCTTTACACATTTACACTTTATGGAGAAAAATCAATAAATCATTATTTTTGGTCTTCAGTCTACAATAACTACTTATGCTCAGAAATTAAAAGCAGGACCAGCTTAAATGAACCAGATAATGAAGTGGAGGGTAAAAATAAAATGCATTCAGTGCCTAACACTTCAGTTTATAAAACACTCAAGTCAATCCACTTTACAATACATTCTGTGAAGGGTTTTGAAATGCCTCAACAACAACAAACAACAAAATTACATTTGGATAGCGCACTTTCATGTCGGGAGGACGTCCCAAGGCTCTGGCCAATCAGTGTTTCAGACCCGAGCTGGGGGTCAGCATCGGGGAGGGTGGAGGGCAGGCATCTTGAAGGAGGCAAGGGAGGGGAGTGAGGCAGAGGGACTGCGGGATGGAGTTCCAGAGAGCGGAGGCAGAGAGGCCGTCGGGCGAGGGTGAGGGGGTCGCAGAGCCTGGTGGGGGAGAGGACATGGGTTGCACAGTTCTGGATGATCTGCAGCCTATGGAGGGAGAAGTGGGGAGACCAACAAGCAGGGAGTTTGCGTAGTCGAGCCTGGTTGTTATGAATGCGTTAAATGCATGTATGAGGGTCTTGGCGGCCTGCGGTGTGAGATAGTGGCAGAGCCGAGCGATATTGCAGAGGTGGGGAAAGGAGGATCGGGTCATGGCACGGATGTGGGTTATGAAGGACAGTTGAAGGTCGAACAGGATGCCGAGGTTCCCTAGTGGTTCTGTGATATGTGAAGTGCATCCACGGAGGGAGATGCTGTCAACGCCCAAGGTATGGAGGCGCTGACGGGCACCAAGCAGGAGGGCCTCGGTTTTGTTGACATTCGATTGCAGGAAGTTAGCTCTCATCCAAGACTTGATGTGCGACAGTCTGTGAGGGCAGCAGTGGTCCTGGAATCGAAGGTGGAGACAAGAGAGGTACAGTTGGGTGTCATCCGCATACATGTGGAAGGTGACCCCATGTCTGCGGATGATGTCACCAAGGGGGAGTATATAGATATTGAAAAGGAGAGGGCCAAGGACAGAGCCCTGAGGGAAGCCACATATGATGGTGCGGGGGCTGGAGGAGAAGCCTTTAGTGGTGACAAAGTGGAGACGGTGGGAAAGATAGAATTCAAACCAGGCAAGGGCAGGTCCACGACGATTGAGCTGAGAGGCAGTGTAGGAGGATAGTGTCGAAGGTAGCAGAGGTGGGGAAGGACAAGGAGTCAGAGAGAGCCCTGGTCACAGATGTTCAGAATATCAACAACATGATAGGATATCAAGCACAAGGATTAGTACTTTTCATTTTTAACATCTCATTTAAACACTGAGCCACTTAGATGAAGCAAAATGTATTTTTTATTAGAAACTGACATTTACAATCGGACCAGCTTTTTGACATTTTTTGATCATCTTTGTGCAATTTAAACATAATATCCCCAAATTAAAGATTCCCACCCACAATTGTACCTCACCACCTGTACACTGTAACCGGATATAAGGAGGCAATTTGTTCCAGTAAAGAAACAATTCATATAAGAAACTGCACACTTACTTGCCCATAGCTCAGTGTTGTTATATTGAACAAAAAAACACTTCTTCAAACAAGAAATTCCAAACACTTCTTTAAAGCTACACTATGTTCATTACACATATTGTACAGGGTCTTGGATAGTTGCTTTGGTGCAATTCCCACTGGTTTCACTGTGGACACACTGAAAGATAAACAGAAAACCAATGCCAGCCTAATATCCCAGTCTTTGAAACCAGTCAGATTGCCCCAGCGCCCGACTTGAGACTGTCTGTCCATCTCACTGAGTGCTCTAATAATGAGCTAACATTATACCTACTCATGAAGTTCCATCTCAGGATCATACCTCTGTCGCTTACAATGTGAGCATGATTTGTTGGCCAATTGAGATCAGATTAAGTAGAGATGTGAAATGTCCAGGGTTTGACTACTTACTGCATCACGGACAGGCATATCAAGGGGAATATGCCTGACAAGAGGGAATCTGACAACTCGTCTTTCTTTTATTTCAAAATGTTGTTCCGAATCACACCATCTGCAATCATTCCAGTCGGAACACAGAAAAATGATGAATTGGTTGTAACTACTGTAATTTGTAAGTGGTTAAAGTGAAGGGCGATGCTCTAAACTGACTGGAAAAAATGCACTATCACAAGAGAGGTTCAGATGATATTGCTTTCAATGCTATAAGTAGCAAACAGGACACTGTCTCACCAGGTTTAGAGGCATTGCCATCAGGATGGACAGCTCCATATTTCTGCTGATGGTGCTCTGGATCAGGTTAGTGAAGCTCCACGATTTCCTTGTGATTAGGCCAGTACGGCCAGTACGTGTGCTCTACTCAGCACCTAGTCATGGCTAGGTTACTATACGAGGACTTCTAGACAATCCCACTACTCTGGGAAAGAAGGTATACGTATTTCAGCAATTAGTACTAGACAGAAGATTAATTTCTCCAATTTTTCCAATCTTCTTCTGAGGCATTTTCCTTCTGCAGAGCACCTTTCCACAAATAACCAAACATAAATATTATTGCATTTATCTGATCCGATTTTGCAAGGTTAGCATGAAATGTATCCCTTACTCAATCTCCCAATAAAGTCACTCACCAATAATGTGCATTAGTTTTTGAGACTATCACACCCTTGTATTTCATTCTTAGAGTGAACACAATACGTTCATCATTCAGCTGCTGTTAACACTGACCACAAACTCTAAAATCCCCCTTCGTTTTCTCAATTTTACACAGAGCCACTTAAAAGAAGCAAATGTATATATTTTTATTAGAAATATACGTATACATCAGACCAGCCTTTTGTAATTAAACATAATGATCTCAAAGTGAAAGATTCATTACAATACACATCTACAGTTGGTCACCATTTATATTAGTTGGTTCCATGAGTAGTGGGTATTTGTTTTGAAAAAGCACACCTTACAGGTTTCTGCGGTAAACAGAAGACAATGGTCACATTCCAATTCCTTGTAATTCCCAATGTGGTGCCTCACATTCACTTTGTTGTCATTGCCTTTCTTCAAAGTTGTAGACTAGACTTAAAGGCTACCAAGAGACACCTGGCAAATTATCACCACTTCAAAGTACTGATGAACAAGACTATCTTACAATTGAACTGAACTGATCTGAGGAGGCAAGCTGTTCCAGTAAAGCAAACAAATCATGTAAGAAACTGCACACTCACTTGCCCAGAGTTCAGCTTAGTGTTTTAAATTGTACAAACACTGTCTCTTCAAATAGGGCAGAAATTCCATTTAAGAGCACTTCTTTAAAGCTGCAGATTTAGCCTATGTTGCAATGTTTATCGCTATAACTTTTTTCTTTTTTATTTGAGTATTGCACCCTTTCCCCAAACTAACCAATGTTTTATATGTGTTTAATACACTTCTGCTTTTCTTTAAAAAATTACTTTTAGAAAAAGTAGTTTGTGCTCAAACTAAAGAAAAAATGCATTGCCTTCTCCTACATTGAAGTTTTTTCATTTTTTTAAATGTAAAGCACGGCATTACCTGAGACAAATCAAGTATTTGACAAACTCACAAGTAAATTCGAGCAGAGATAAAGGTCAGCAGATGGACTACAAGCATTTAACTAGGGCAATCGATCGCCACGTTACTGATGAATTCTCCTTCACAATGTTTTGCTAATCACCGGTACAGGCAAACGTAAATCACTTCTGAACGTTTCAAGTTTATCTCATTAGAATGTTCCTGTTCAGTTATGAGCCATATCGATCCTGCAAAAGAAAAGAAAATTGTCTCCTTTCTCCGCTCTTCTCCTGAAGATACCAAATCTTGTTGGGGTATGGCTTCCTTTAGCACATATATATATATATATATATATACACACACACACACCTATGTTGCTTAATACACTTCTGTTTTTCTTTAAAAACTTAATTTTAGAAAAAGTAGTGTGTACTCAAACATAGTGAAAGACAGCAAAATATCGTCAAGCCGTACGATTATGGAGCATTATCGCAACAGAGCCCAGATCCTGACTTCGCATGCAATTCTTTCCAGCCAGAATTACTCATAGCAATCAGGTTTCCTGGCAGACCTTTTCTCTCTCGGATCATCCTGATGAACTAAATAGGTTGGTAGCCATGGGCTGGAGTATGCCTGGGTTAGGAGATTCCTTAACGGTGATTTGATGTATTTTTTAAAAGAAACAGAAATCCAGAGCAATGAGACTAACCCGACTGAACCTCTACGCACATTTCTGAGGTACAACAGATTAAGAAGCTAAAGATTTCTATTTTGATTTAGATTTTTTAAAAGCAATTATGGGTCAACTTGAAGTTTCTGATTTTGATTAAGATCTAATGGTCACAAGTCACCATAAAATGTATTGAAAGACGAAATATTTTGAATGCGCTGACCTGAATGGAAGTCATCACTCCATTGGCAAGAACAGACAGCTTCCCAGCCACAGACCGAAATCCTTGCTTAACCTGTGCCATGTCAGGAGCTGAAGGGAGCACATTGCTCAGAGACGGATTTACTTCAGGGAAAACAAAATCCCAATTATACATTTCTGACAAGAGCTAACAATAAAAAAAATGAAAATCTTCAGAAAGTAATGGACCCTCAATGCGCATCACCGTTGATGTTTTGCTCGGCTGGTTACTTACAGGGTTGCTTCCTATCGTCCTCAAACAGGTCAGCTGAACTGATGGATGAACTTCCCGCAAAACGTTCCAGTCGAGTTTTGGCTTCATACTGCAGGCAAAACCCATTCGTTAATATGATAATAAATAATAATAATCCTTGCATTTGATATAGCGCTTTTCACGTCTTCTCGACGTCTCAAAGCGCTTCGCAGAAATAGACTGTAAAGTAAATTGACTGTATATTTGTGGGCGAAAAAATCCTTCTCTTCATACAAAGTAAACATAAAACTAATTGTTAACGCAAAAAAGATGCATTTTACACCAGCAACTCATTTTATATTTATGTGTATCTGGCACTTAATATTTGAAAATGAAATGTTAAAATATTCAGGTCAAATGTTATTGTTAGACAAGATTTAAACAGTTGAAATCCCCTGTGTGAAGAGCACTATATAAATACAAGTTGTTGTTGCTTGGAACTTAGACCATTGACACCTCGCTGTACTCTGAAGTCTGATAGGGGAACTGAGGGAACTACTGTTTACAGAGGGCTCTACAGGTCACTGGTTGTGGAATTAACAATGACAACAATTTCTTCACTCCATAATTAGCCAGGCTCAGTTGGTAGCACTCTCGCTTCAGAGCCAGAAGGTTGTGGGTTCAGGCCCCATGTCGAGAATTGGAACCATATAGACTTTGCTGACATTCCAATGCAGTGCTGAGCGTGTGCTGCTTTGACGGTGATGCCATCAAACCCAGATCCTGACTGATGTCTAGGTACAGATTAAAGATTCTGCGTCATTATTAGAAGAGAAAGGAGTTTATTCTGGTGTCCTGGCCAACAATCCTCCAAATAAAATTGGGTCACTCACTCTGCGACTGTTTGTGTAACAATGCTGTGTGCAATTTACCTACCGTGCTTATCTAGAAAATAAACAGTCACTACAGTTTACATTTTGTGAAAAGCTTTGAGACAGCTCAACTATGTGATAAGGCTCTATATCAAATGCAAGGATTATTATCTATTTTTATTGTTAGTGAAGCCCCAGTCACCACACTAAACCACAGCCTCAGAAGAACACCAGCTCCTCTTCAATGTGATATTTCCATTTCCCACATTCGCTATCCTGTACCCTCTCATGAAATGCCTGATGTGTTCATGGACACCAGTGTACTTTTCTCTTCTCCTCAGCAGAAACTAAAATTAACCACCTTAAGTAACAGATTTATTTTTTCATCACCAAACTGCTCGATATAGTTACAAGTTGAAAAAGGATAGATTTAAGCCAATTTCTTACCAATCCCTCTTAAAAACATAACATATAGGAGCAGGAGTAGGTCATTCGGTCCTTCGAGCCTGCCCCACCATTCAATCAATGCTGATCTTCTAATCTAACTCCAGCTAATAACCTAACCCTGCCTTATCCCCATATTCCTTAATCCCTTTTGCAATAAGAAATCTATCTATCTCAGTCTTGAATATGTTCAAGGACTGAGCGTCAACAGCCCTTTGGGGTAGTCAGTTCCATACATTCACCACCCTTTGAGTGAAGAAGTTCTTCCTCAACTCAGTGCGAAAGGGTTGGCCACTGATTTTAAGGTTGTGACCCCTGGTTTTAGTTTCTCCAACCAGGGGAAACAATCTCCACTATCTACTCTATCATGCTCTTTGATGATCTTATAGGTTTCTATGAGATCCCCTCTTAATTCTTCTATATTCTAGAGAATATAGGCCCAAATTGGTCAGCCTATCCTCGTATCTCATCCCCTTCATCCCTGGTACTAACCTAGTAAATCTACGCTGCACCCCCTCCAAGGCAAGTACATCCTTCCTTAAATAAGGAGACCAAAACTGCACACAGTATTCCAGGTGTGGTCTCACCAGAGCCCTATACAGTTGCAGCAAGACTTCCTACTCTTATACAAAGACACACCTTGTACAAAGACACCCGGGTCCCTCTGGACGCTAACACATTCCAATTTCGCCACTTCTAAAAAATAACACGCTCTACTGTTTTTTAAAAATAGTAATCATAAAACTAATCTTGTAAACCAGAGTTGCAACCATTATTTTTTTAAAAAACCAAAGGTATTAATGTAATAAAATGCATTGTGGAGACACTGTATTGCCACATAGCTATTGAATAAAACACACAATTCCAGGACACTGTTAATAATCCTTGTATTTGATATAGCGCCTTATCACGTGTTCAAGACATCTCAAAGCGCTTCATTAAATATACTGTAAAGTGAATTGACTGCATATTTTGCGGGTGAAAAGTGGCAGCCAATTATGCACATGAGTGTCCTACAAACAGTCGTAGAGTGAGTCACCAAATTTTTAAAAAAAAAACATTTTTAAAAAAAGGGAAAAGTCCCCCGGAAAAACATCCGCCAATTGGCTAACAACTGGGGTACTAATTACTGCTAGGTAAACAGAGTAGTAGTGGAGTAAGGAAACATGCCTTACGGTTCGCCCTGCCCAGGAATCGAACCCAGGTCCCCTCGCTTGCGAGGTGATTGCTCTAACCACCAAGCTACAGGACTCCAAATGACAGCAAACCCTGCCTTGCTCATTGGCAGGACTTGGAAGGGCACACAAGTCACTGGGGGCAGGAAGTCATCCCATTCAGCTCCTGTTATCCCTTGTAAACCTAGCCATAACGGGTAGGTGGTCCTACCCGAACAATCAGTGGGAAAGCTTGCCAGGCAGCGATATCATACGAACCTGCTGGGTGAAAAAAGACCAAAGTCCATCTAGATCACCATCCACCATCTGGGAAGTCGCTTGACATGTCTTGTCCCAAACTATATACTGTATCCTGAGATATTCATTTCTAGCAGAAATCTATCTAATTTATTCTTGAAACAAACAACATTTTCTGCTTCCACTGTCTCTCTAGGGAGCCTATTCCACAAGTTCACTATTCGCTCACTGAAGTAGTATCTCCACAGATTTGTTCTGAATTTACCCCCTTCAATCGCAGACTGTGTACTCTGCTTCTACTGTTTAGTGCAATAAAAAATAATAGGTTTATATGTTTAGATAAAGATGGAACACTTACCTCTGCTGATTCTTGTTTCCCAAAGTACATATCTGATGAAATGGCCTTGGCATTGCCAAACTTCTTCTGTGCTTCCTCAGATCCAAGTGAATAATCCAATTCTGGTTTCCGACGTGCAGGCCTGCAACAAGGGAAGAAAGGGAGAAAATAGGAGATTATATTCAAATGTGGACAACATGAACAGGATTCAATATATTAAAGCCAGCTTTCTATGTAAATATTTCAATAGTTTCTCTTCCACATGTTAAGCGATAAAGGTTATTCGAACTTGAGGCAAACAGTTTACACAATATCCAGCTATTGAAGAGCAATTTCTAAAGTTCTGCAGGTGCTAAGATTATAATCTCCTGTTTATCCTCCACACATGCTGGCAAAAGGCAGGCTTGGGTCTCATTCAGCTTTAAAGGTCCACAATAAATGCAGCATGAGATGCATCAAAAATGGCTCTTATATTCTTATTGAGGAAAGCGAGGGGTTTGATTATTGATACCGGTCATTTAGTGATGAAATCTTTGAAGTAAATATAGCTTCAGGCACTCTAGTACTGCGTTCAGTCTTCCAAAAGGGATCAATATTATCTTCCCACTTTGAATATCCACTTCCTATATCCAGCGGATCATCAAAATATCTAAAGAAGAAGAAAAAAGAACCACAATATTAAACTCTCAATTTGGTTACCAAGTTGCATATTCAATGAATAATGAACTCAGTCATACAAACCAACGAGGTTGAAACGTAACACACTTGGGCTGTGTTAATACGTATTTCTGCTTCAAGGTACAATGGTCAAAGTACACTTCTAATTTGTGTACATTAGCAGAAACATGCCACTAATTTCCTTGTCCATTACCCAGGGTACTAAGGCCAATTGTAACATTTCAATTAAATTATCCCATTTCTAAGCTTTCGGAACTGCACGGTTCAGAGTGTGACTGAAGAAACACACTGAACAATTGAGAGAGAACCTTTCCGTACCTTTAACACAGGAATTTCTATCTGTAGGTGGCCGTGCATGCAACTGTTAGACTGGGTTGGAGACTCTTAAGCATAGTGTTGGGTTTCCGCACATATCGGACACCCAGCTGACCAAAAAAAACTTCACAGCTATTTTACTGTTTTTGCTGTTTGTACGTGAAGGGTAAACACACCGGCAGTGTGTAACAGTTTAACTCAACTAATGTAGTCAGTAACTACTACAATTTTTGCATTTAGCTGAGACACAGTGATGGCTTTTGCATTATTCAATGTCTTTTATATCACTTTCCCATAATTTTTGTCTTGTCAATAGGTGATGCTCTTTCCTTCAGGAAACACTTTACTTGCCTGGAATGAGAAGTAAATGTAGGTTCATCATCGTCATCATATTTTCTGCGAGAAGATTTCCCCACACTGGGCGTCTCTTGCTCTATGGTTTGCATGTCTGAGAGGACAGAATGAGAAACTCCACTGTATGGAATAAAAGAGCAGAACATTAAAGATCAGCAACAACAACTTGCATTTATATAGCGCCCTTCGCGCGAGGCAGTGTCCCGGAGCGCTAAATCACTAAAATTGAGTCCTACTTTATTGTGAACTAAACCAAAATTTCTTCCTTCACACAAAAAAATCAAGATGCAACAACAAAGTTCTACAAATTCAGACATGGTAACAGAAGTAGTAGTGGCCGTTCAGCCATAGCTTATTGGATTGTAGTAATTGTTTTCTTCGGTTTCCTCACATATTGTCCAAAAATATTATTAAACTATATCATGAGGAATGATAGTATCATATTGGGAGCTTCATTCAATCCATCTGATGTGATGCCCCATTCAACTTCCCCTATCTTCCCATTTGAAAATGATCCCGCTAATAATTATTATTGTATTTGATTATGGCCCCTTTCACTTCAGGAGAATGTTTCACAGGAATAACCATAAAGTGTAGAGACTGTATTTAGTAAGCAAATATGGTAGCCAATCTGAGCACACCAATGGTACACAAGCAGCCATGAAGTGAATTATCAGGACACTGAGTGAAACTTCTTTCTCATTTCACTTAGAGACGAGAGTGCTGCCAAGTGAACCAGGCTGACACCTTGCCACATGGTGGACTGTCAGTCTGTGGCCAGTGTAATTCAGTGACATGATTACAACATCCGGCTCCAATGTTAGTTCTCTACTTCCCTATCCAATCTTAATTCTGTTTCTCTCAGCCCATATCAATGCAGTATTAGTTACTTACGATCTGCTGCCAAATCCCATGCCCAGTCGCTCAGCCTGCTCCTTCTTTTTCCCTTCCAGGTGATTTAATTTCTCATTTTCTCTCTTCTCTGGATTTCCAGGTCCTGGTATGCAAGTCGGAGAGATGACACTCTGTGCGTGGTAAAGGGAATACAGCTATTTTTATTCGCAATAAGCAATTTTTAAATGTGGAGACTGAATATCTCATGCCTTGTGGACTATGTATAATCAATCGCTGATTTGCTATATTGTCTGTTTAAAATAAACACAATTGGGATCTTCCATACTATTCAACTTGCTAAGAGGACAGGTTTGAGTTCTATTCTTAAGTTTCTTACAATGCTAGAGCCTGCATTTACTATTAAGACCCCAGTTAATTGAAGCGTTTTGAAAGCACGAGCTTGTTCAGCTCTCAAGTACCTCGGCACTTTGCACAGCTCAGACAGGAAATGTGTAGGGCATCTTGGAAAATTTGGGAAATTTGTGCCGTTCGCACACTGCTGACATCAATGGACGCAGTAACACCATATCTCCAATCACAAAGTGTGCCGGACTTTATGTATGGGATTAAAAGCTATTGCACCTTTTTTTCTTCAAATCGCTATGTGTACAGGTTGCTGAAACATGATCTTGGTCCATCTGGCCTATCTGATACATATCTCATTGTTCTGACAAACTCAAACCTATATCTGGAACTTAGACACACCAGTGTAGAGCTGTCATTTTAAAGGGACCATAACTGTAAAAGTCGTTGTACTTACACAGATTCTTCGTTCTCAGATTTCTTCTTGCTGCTCAGCTCTTGCTCTTTCATTCGGTCGACAGCCTGGGCTTGTTTCTCAATCTCACTGAAGCTGTGGCTGGCTACTTTCTGCGCTCCCAAGCCACCCTTCTTACCACCCAGCTGTTTAAAAAGAGCCAGAGTAAATGTGCAATTCAGCTACTGATAGTTGTAACCAGCTGTAACCAGCTAGCTCTCTCTTTGTCAAATGAAAGTCTGCCTTCAGAGTTTGTAGATGGGAAAATTCAGACTTTCAATGCAATTGCGATCTTTGCCAAACAGGGACAAAAAGATTCACTCCAGAGGGATGCTTTTTTTGATTTTTACAGGTTTGGCGGAATTACAGACATTGTAGCCCCGTGATATATTATCATTGCAGCAGTTTGACATACGAATAATAATCCTTGCATTGGATATAGCATCTTATCACGTCATTGAGAGGTCTCATAGGAACATAGGAATTAGGAGTAAGCTATTCGGCCCCTCGAGCCTGCCCCGCCATTCAATAAGATCATGGCTAATCTTCTAACCTCACTCCATCTGCCCGCCTTATCCCCATATCCCTTAGTCCCTCTATCCTTTAGAAATCTATGAATCTCAGTCTTGAATATGTTCAAGGACTGAGCATCTACAGCCTTCTGGGGTAGAGAATGCCATAAATTCAGTATTTACTGAGTGTTTCCTCAACTCTGTTCGAAAGGGCTGACCCTTAATCTTAAGACTGTGACCCTAGTTATAGATTCTCCTACCAGGGGAAAACAGTCTCACACTGTCAAACCCCATAATAATCTTATGTGTTTCTATAAGATCACTCCTAATTCTTTTACATTCTAGAGAATATAGGCCTAGTTTACTCAACCTATCCTCACAGCTCATCTCAAAGCAAATCAAAGAATATATTGTAAAGTGAATTGACTGTATATATTATGGGCAAAATGTGGCAGCCAATTGCGCACAGCAGTGTCCCACAAAACGTCATGAATTGAGTATCCATATAATTATTCTTTTAATGAATTATTATCCCAGAAAGCGATCCGTCGCCAATTGACTAACAACCAGATTCCTGCTTACTGCTAAGTAAATAGAAATGTGTGGAATAAGCAAAGTTGCCTAAGGTTTTGCTCTGCCCAGCAATCGAACCCGGGTCCTCTCCCTTGCGAGGCGAGTGTTCTAACCAATACCCTACAGAACTCCACAAATAATAGGTTAAGACATTTCCAATTAGTATTCGTAAGGAAAAGCACTTCAGTAACTCATTTGTCCTCAGGAATCAAAGATGTTTTTTTTAAAAAAAGTGTAAAAGAAATATTTTGAAAAATAATACATATATTTTAATGTCACAAAATGGCTATATATAAAATATGTTCCGGTTGATTTGGACTGTATTGAAAGTTATTTCACCATTAATAATCACTTCCACCCCAATGAATTAACAATCAGACAGTACCAAATCTATCACTGGAACCAAAGAATTTCAGATACAGTTCTATCTTTCAATATAATTAGGAACAGATACAGTTCTATGCTTCATTATAATTAGGAACCATTCTTACACATGTGTAAACATCAAGTAATGCAGCTGTTTTCATTAAAACAGTGATATAAATCTAAAGTTTAAAGTTATTTCTATTTAGAAATAAAGCTTTTAGTACATACCGATTTCTTAGCTGCTGAAGGCTTCTTTTTTGTTATAATAGACGACTTGAGATCTGTTAACAAACAGTGAAATCAGCACATTTCTCCGTCGAGGTATCACTTCAGGAAAGCGTTGGAATTCATAAGATTATGCCAAACTACACAAAAAATTATATATTTTTGAAATTAAACAAATTGATGCTAGAATAATATTTCCATGTAATTGCAACAGTTGTATTACATGTAATATTCCAACATATAGCTCTAAATTATAGACTTGCAAAATGACAATCAGTAATAGCACAGTGTACTTTTTCAAAGCTACGAAAAATAACGAGGTAATTTGAGGATTGAGCATTTAAAAAAAATTAAACATTCAAATGAACTAATAATAAATTCAACAGTTAGTTTTTTTGGGAACAGAGGGTCGTAAAAATAAGTTAATCCTTTCCAGACACTTTTGAAAGGAAGTTCAGCTTACAATTGCAGCAGTAGAGTCCTTTCATGGACACTTTCCAATTTTGCTGTGTAAAATGGGTGAGGCTTTTCTGCCATCATGTCATTAATGAATTAAGGACACAAATTCAAAATATGAAAAAATGCCAGAAAATGGCTATTCAAAATTGACAAGACAAAGACAGAATAGAAAAAGAGAAATACACAGAGTCAGACTGGATGAGAGGTACAGGGAGCCTACATAGGAGGAGGGGGAAGACAGAGAGCCTGATGTGGACTGGTTTGTGCAAAGATTCACTGTAAAGTGCAGTGACTACATTTTTAGGCCAAGAGGGCAGCCAATTTGCACACAGCAACATCCCACAAGCAGTCATGAAGTGAATGCCCAATTTTATCTGATGGATTGTTAGCCAGGACACCGGGGAGAGGCTCCTTTCTCTTTTTGAGTAATGCCATGCACTCTTTAATGTCTACCCGAACAGGCAGACAGGACCTTGGCTTTGCATCTCATCTGAAGGATGGGACCTCCTTGAATGCTCCATGAATGTCCAGCATTACATTGGAGTGTCAGCCTGGACTGTGAGCTCAAAGTCCTGACTGAGAACTTTCATATACATATTTAGACATAGTGAGCAACTGAGAGAGAAAAACGTACACAGGTAAACAGATACTATATAGAGAGGCAAAGAAAAAGAGAGATGTACATAACATGCACGCACAAGCAAAGAAACATGCAAATCCATCTGCCAAATATTCACAAGCAATGATGAAATTCAATAAGGTTAGAAATTAATTTCAGGCCGGAAAGAGTTAAAAATAATCAGTCGACTGGTTCAAAAGGTTTACAAATAAAAGGAAAAGCAGTGCAAACTGAAGTTCAATTAAAGCATTTCATCTGTATGGTGGTTAACAGCTGTTCTCCCCCAATTCCTGGAATTGTGATCGTGTTCATTTTGACTCAGAAAACTGAGGCAGCCAATAGCAATTCACAAACATCATAAAAGTCACCTTTGTTAGGTGTGACTCCTGCAGAAACTAAACTCATGGAGTCAGCTAAAATAGGGAAAAACAAAAGAATTTCTGAGTATCAGCCAGTAAAATTGTTGCTTTTTATGTATGATTTGCCTTATGCTCTAAACAGAGGATTTAAAACAACAAATTAAAAATCTACTGGTAAATTAACTTTAAAAAGTGATGCACCGTAAAGATCTATACAACAAAGCTTTTTTACCCCTAAATTGCTACTTTAAACCCAATCTTTATCAATTTCAGTGCCTGGACAAAGAGGTTTGTTTCACTGCAGATTTCAGTGTTGAAGCACTGGATTGTTTTTTAAAAGTTTAAAGTCAATATAGTTAATCATAATAATCCCTATAAATCACGTGCAATCACGGTATTGACAGCTCTCGTTTCTTTTTACAGCATTTGCTGAATGTGGAACATCCAATTATTTCAATGTTCCATCATCCAATGCTTAAGCTCGAGTTGTGGATTTCTGTGGGTGTGCCACAAAATTAAACAATTTTATACATTTACACCAACAACAACAAATGACATTTGTATAGTGCCTTTTACGTCAGGAGGACAGTTAGGGATCCGCACCCATCCCCTGGTGGTTGGGATCAGGAGTGGTGGTGGGCGGGAAGGTAGTGGTAGGAGGATGACCGAAGACACGGTCCAAGAGGAGGGTTTGAGACAAATCTTGAAGGAGGCAAGGGAGGGGGCGAGGCAGAGGGACTGCAGGATGGAGTTCCAGAAGGTGAGGGCAGAGAGGCTGAAAGCCTGCCTGCCAAGGGAGCGAACAGGTTGATAGGGCCTTAGCAAGTCACAGAGGTAAGGAGGCAAGGCCGTGGAGGGTTTTGAAGGTAAGGACCAGAATCTTGAACTGTATCCTCTGAGTGATGGGGAGCCATTGAAGCAACGTGCAATGATACACTGTAAAATAGAACAAATTGAAAGACAAGTACCTAATGCTTCTTTAGGTGAGACGCTGAGGACATCAATGTTCGGTCCATGGTCATCTGAAAAGCACAATATTTTTTAATTAAAAAGTATTTGTGTTTTTTTTTGAAAGATGTTTGTAAGTGGTTGTAAAACACTTTTCCCTGTGACCACACACTCACATTTGTACTTTGACCAAACAAAAAAACAGTAACAGGTGGCTTTAAGATTAAAATTGATGTTCCCCCTGGGTCTTCCAAGCTTTACCTGCTTCTGATTCACGAGCAAAATCGGTAAAAGCCGATTAGCATTGTTGAAGGCCATTCAGCAGGCAACTTCCCCACACTCTCTTTAAGCAGCAACTAAAATTGGGTTTGAAGGCTCTGTTGGGATGGAGCAGAGGGGAGCTGGCAATGGGACTGACTATAAGACATTGTTCGTGTATCCAGGTGCCTTGTATGTTTGATTCCTCAACAATGATGTCCCTCACTCTACCAATTTCAGGTTTTGGTGAATCCCAAACAAGGGGCAAAGGTCAGGGACAGCTCTCTCATCTTAGTTTCTCCTTCCTCACTGGCCCCTCTGCTCCCCAAACCTTACCAAGATTGCCCTCTTGCTGTATTTTTTCAGACGAGAGCTGTAGAGGAGCTGACACAGCGGTTTGCTCTGTTGACCAGGTGCTAGTTGGCTGGAAATGGAAACAAAATATGGTCAAGAAAATCACAACCTTAGAAATTTCACCTCAATGTATTGCAATTTTCCTTTTTTGTAAGCACTTTGGCCTGTTTTCATCGTTTTTTTGTTCCATTATAAGCCCAAACTTTTATGTTAATTTCCATAAAAACAATATCCCATATCCAACATTCCAAGGCACTAACTTTATCACATTCTGAGGTTCTCACACCTGGCTCAAACTATAGCAAAGCGATCTGAAGGCGCAGAGTATGAACTGTTGAATATTTTATCTGTAAATGTACACATGAAAACTACAGTGCGATTATCAGGCAAATTAGATCTGGTTCACAGTCTTCACTGATAGCGAATAGAGTGTAGATATTGGAGATACATCTAGACTGCAGAGGTCCAAAGTAATTGATGCCTGATGTTTGAGGAGTACAGTAAGAACCTGTCATAATAAATTTGAAAATAGAGAGGCAGATACTGTCAAAGTGCATTGCAAGTTTTTATCAACTGCTGAAACATGACAAGCTGATCCTCAAAGGATTTCATTGATTTATTTCTCATATCAGATACCGTCCATGTACCTCAGCTATTTCAATTAGGGCTTAAAGCTGACACAGGCTCACACACATGTTAAGAAATACTGTTGTTATTGCAATGGGAAGATATCAGAATGAGTATTCTGGAAGGGATGAGATCAAATGGGTGATGGAACTTATTATATCCAAATCTGTTATGATCGCGTGATCTTATGGTTTCCAGGACATGGTACAACAGTGACACCAGCAGGAGGTTCATTTTACTACAGGTTGCTCAATTGTACCAACACCCTCTGGTGGCACCATGTTTAACACATGCCACCTTTCTTAACACCATTAACAGGCACTGCCAGAACAAAATACTGCATCACCGTACTGGAGACTAACTGATTGAGTGTTGTTGGTCACCAAGCTTGATGAAAGGAAGAAAGCAGCAAATTGCTCTGTAGTTTTCCTGAACTATCCTCATCAACTATCTTTTCTATCCCACATCTACGCCATGACTCGCTCTACCTTCCCCCACCTCTGCAAAATCGCCCAGCTCCGCCACTGTCTCTCACCGCAGGCTGCCAGAACCCTCATACATGCTTTCATTACATCAAGGCTTGACTATGCAAACTTATTGCTTGTTAGCCTCCCCAACTACTCCCTCCATAGGCTGTAGATAATAATAATAATCCTTGCATTTGATTTAGCGCTTTTCACGTCAGGAGGACGTCCCAAAGCGCTTCACAGAATATACTGTAAAGTGAATTGACTGTATATTTGATCACCCAGAACTCTTTGGCCCACGTCCTCTCTCGCATCAGGCGTGTCCCTATCACCCCCATCCTCACCCGATTCCACTGGCTTCCCATCACACAAGGACAGTTCAAGATTCTGGTCCTCACCTTCAAAGCCCTCCATGGTCTTGCTGCCCCTACCTCTGCGAACTCCTAAGCCCCTACCAACCTGCTCAACCTATCAACCTACCACCATTGGCCGGAGAGCCTTCAGCCACTTTGCCCACAACTTCTGGAGAGGCGGAGTCACCCCCCAATGACTCCGCCTCTCCCCCTCCTTAGCCTCCTTCAAATCCCGCCTCAAAACCTTCCTCTTCGACCATGCCATCAGTCAATCCCTTCCCCTCCTCTCCCTCCCTCCCTAACCACAGCTCAGGTCTGAAATGCTGTACACTATCCAGCGCCTTGGGATGTCCTCCCTACATGAAAGGTGCTATACAAATCTAATCTTGTTGTTGTTGCTCACTCCGTCCGCTCAGTGGGCTCCAGCCTGCTTCACGTCCCATACCTCGCTCGCCCCACTACGGCAGGCAGATCTTGTGCCACTCTGCCACCACGCTCTAGAACTCGACCCCTCCCTTGCCTTCTTCAAGACCCATCTCAAGAGCCTCCACTTCAACCGTACCTTCGATCTCCCTGCTTTCCCCCCTGCCCTCCAACCTCCCTGATCCCGACCCCCACCTCGGGTCCGAAGCTCTGTCTGTCCAGCGCCTTTGGACGTCCTCCCGACGTGAAAGGCACTATACAAATTTAATTTTGTAGTTGTTGTAGTAGTTAGTTATAATGAACTGAAATAATGCTAGCTGCTGCAAGTGAAATCTAATACCATGAGCAGTGAAGGCATTGTGGAGTCCTGTAGCTTAGTAGTTAAAGAGCACTCGCCTCACAAGCGAGAGGACCTGGGATTCCCAGCAGGGTGAAATGTTGGGCAAGTTTCCTTACTCCACACACCTGTTTACCTAGCAGTAATTAGGAATCCTGTTGTTAGTCGATTGGCGGATCGCTTTTTCGAAGATAATAATCCCTTCAAAAAAAATTTTTAGAAATGATAATTTGACTGTTTGTGGGACACTACTGTGTGCAATTGGCTGCCATGTTTTGCCCACTTTACAGTATATTCTGTGAAGTGTCTCGAAGGCATGATAAGGTGCGATATCAAATGCAAGGATTATTATTATTCTTTGGAAACAAGTAGCCACAGTTTGAGAGCACTTAAAGCCCTTTCTTAGATTCTTTTTTGTCTGAAGGAGCATCAAATTCAACAATAATCTAACATTTACCAACATTACCACTTTGAAGCATTAAATTTACTTTGATGAGTTAATAAGGCTAAAGTATCCCCATGATTTAATCTCCACAATGTTCTCTATCACTTACTTCCCACAGTAATGCATTAGGAAGAAAGATTCAAACTCCTCCAAAGATCAAGTCAGTGGAGGCATCACCAAACTAAACAGAACAGGTTTTACTCTCAAATAGTACTACCTTATCTTATCTCACCCATAATCACAGGTGGCAGGGTAGCTAGGGCCCCCAAATCCAACTTGTCTCCAGTTTTGACAAATAGGATGTTGTGTCCGGAGAGGGACGCTGCTTTCCACAGTGTGCAATGGGACGTGAAGTAAAGCGAGCGTGGCAGTCAGAGTTGAGTGAGCTGGAGTTGCATCCAGTGCCAGGGCACACACACGCACGCACTCCGCAGCCCCCCCCAAAAGTATTTTCACCTGTCACCTATGCCCATGATTGACTTGTTTGTCTGTGAGTTATGGAGGGAGTAAGGGGGAAATAAATCAGCCAAGGGTCTCAGTGCTGATCACAATCTCGTGCTCCTGTTAGAAAATGATCATGTGCACACATCAGACAAGGACAGCATCAGGCTTGGTTATTATCTAGGCCAATAGAAAAGTGGTATCGCACCTTTTCCGCGGAATCCGCTATAAACGACTCTTCACTACAAACAGCCCTTTCTCTACTAACCTGTGCACACAGTGTGCTAGGCCCCGGGCCTCTGCGCGCTGTTTGCTCGACGCTGCTACTTTGGGCGGAGCGGCTCCAGTCATTACTTCTTTGAAGCGTTAAATTCACTTTGATGAGATAATAAGGCTAAGACGCAGCGCAGGGAGTGTTGGGATTGTAGAAGTGACGCGAGCAGGAAATCGGCTTCTCCCGGTGCCCGACCTAACCTGAGCTCCTGCGACCAATTCTTGGTAAGTGCTGTACTGTTCAAATTAACATTTTTGGTATTTTAAACATTACTATAGGTTTAGGAAATTTACGCCTATAGTTTTAATCCAGGTTGTTTCACAAAATGAGTCTCTCAATAGTACCAACCAACCCTCCATAATTTCCCGGAAAATTTACCAAATACCTCCGCACTTTCCTGCAAAATCTGTCAAACGCCCTGCAATTTTTGACAAATATTTCAAGGTTATTACACATTCACAGTGACTGAGAGCTGCCAACACATGTGAAGGCCATGGGGGTAAGGAACTGGAGAACTGCTGGAAGCTGTGGAAGTTTACCCGGCCACAAGTCAGCACTTACCTTTAGGAGAACTGGAAGGAAGGAAGAAAAGGGAAAAATTGGCAAACCAAAACCTTACCACAGAATGAGAGGCAAAGAAGTCTTCCTCTTTAGCTTGAGGGGACAACGGTGGATTTCCAGACTCAGTAATCCACAGCTAAACATACAAAGCAAAACATAGAACCAGATTAGCATCAAATCCCCGCATTGGATTCAGCCTCCTGTTTGACTTGATCCATTTTTTTTTTTGAGTTTCTATTCTCTCCCCCTGTCTAAAAAAAAGGATAATTGGTGTAATAATAATACTTACATTTGATATAGCACTTTTCATGTCTTCTAGACGTCTCAAAACGCTTCATAGAATATGCCGTAAAGTGAATTGACTAAATTTGTGGGCGAAACGCGGCAGCCAATTGCGCACAGCAGTGTCCCACAAACAGTCGTGGATTGAAAATGACCAATTTATTATTGTTTTGTTTTTTGGAGGGATTATTATCAGGTGAGTAAGGAAACTTGCCCAAAGTTTCGCCTTGCCTAGACTTGAACTCAGGTGTCTCGCTTGCAAGGCGAGTGCCCTAACCACTGAGCTATAGGACTCCAAGGATTACAGGTAATACAGGATTCTTGCAATCAAAAGCCTGTAGGAAATCAGAAAATCAGTAACCTTTCTGAATTGAGAATAAATGAACAATATTCTTTGTTTAAACAAAGCTACTTTGTGAGATAACGAGAGCTGGCGACCTTAATAGGGCAGTAACAGAGTCCAACCATGTGAGAGAAATTAAGACTAGCAGATAGAGATTATGAGGGAGGCTTAAATGATCTAGTTGCTTAAAACCATGGGCGTCAATTCAACTCCTTCGCAGTCAAGTAAGTAAGAAAATCACCAACTGTATCACAATATCCAGAAAGTGGGAAAAAGCAAACTAGATGCTCATAAGTTGATCATAATTCTGAAAGCACAAGCTCCTCAATGTCTGATTGCTTTAAAAATGTAGAAGAGTTAAAACACCCAGTAAATGGTAATATTGTTTACCACATTAACTAAGTAATTAAATTTTTCTACCAATACACAACAACATTTCAAACCTTCTCTGGAGCCTACCAACACTGTCTGTGTTCTATATGAACACAAAGTCCTGTACATTCCTGTGTTTAAGCGCTGAGAAGCTACTCTATGTGGAGGGCCCTTATATAACTGCAAGTTGTTGTTGTTTCGTTTCTAATTAAGATTAGTAAAATCTATTCAAAGTAATTTAGCAGAGTGGTCTATATGCACTGTATATGAGCCATACTTATACAGATAGTACTGAAGTAGAGAACAAAGTATTTACATGAGCACCGACTGACTGTACGTGGAGTGAATCCTGGATTATCTACCACAAAGGAAGCAATCTTACACTTATTCACACTTACTTCAGTTCCATATTTTCTGGTTGCAGCAACTGCTAAAGATCTGAGCTTCTCTCTATAAAGCAGGGCAGCACGACTGTTGTATTTGGCATTACTGTCATTAGTGTCACATCCATGTTGTCGGAAAAACGCCAGCTAAGGAAGGAAGGGAATGGCAAAAGTTACTTCTGCTGTTGGATCACTCACACAAATTTGAGATTAGCCAAAAAGGAAAAGTATAGACTTCATAGTAGAACAATGATTTAAGTCACTGTGACTGGCATCGTGCCAGCCTTGCCACAATACTTGTAGCATTACCTGAGTCCTGAATTGGTACTGAGCACCATTGTCCTTGTTAAAGAAAATGTTGATTCAAGTTATTTAAAACACTTCCAAGAGCTGCAGGACTCAATAATGACAGGAATAAATCATGCAGATTTATAAAGGTGACAGAGCAATTGTGTATTCTTCACGTGATTTAAATTCAATGATTCAACTGCAGGCTACACAGATAATTGAATTTAGTTTATTACTGAGAATTGAAGAGGGTCTATAACTAGCTGTTAACTTTTACATTCAACTTGATCTACACAATGGTAAAGAAACCCTTCATGACAGGAGTATTTCACACAGCAATGCATTCCTTTTAGATTAAGAAAGTAAACATAATCTCGATCAGGACTCTGCCCTTTCCACCTGACTCAGGAGCTTTTGTTGACATTGCCAAGTGTCTTGCTGGCACTGTTGCCCTCACTGACATCCAGACAATATGCTTTACAACAGTGTCAATAGACATTTTCCCCTTCCTTACACCAAGGTCAGTGAGGCAAACTATCATTTTAACTGTTGCACAACCTGAGATCACAATACTCCACAGATTTAAGATTAAACCTGTGAAGTTCTGGACTTCAATCCTTCAGTTTCATCACAGACACTAGCGCTTAACAAGTTAGCTACTGGAAGAGATCAGGATCTCTATTCTTGTAGCTTTTATCCCAACGTCCAAAAGAGACAAATCTTGTCACTTTCTACAAAGTGAAAATCAGAGGCACAGAACACAAACGCAAGACTGGAATGACTGAAGGGGTCTGGGAGTCCTTCAAACCTTTAAGAAACGTTTCTACTCACAGCATTAGCATTGCCGCCAAGCTGCATACATCTCAGCTGAAACCAGGTCCAATTTGAATCCAGTTCTGTAGACCTAGAACAACCAATAACAAACAAATTTGCAAAACAGATGAGAATGAGCATTCAGTTAGGCAATATGAAAGTTGCGAGTTCAAAATCCACGTCAGGACTTTGAACTCACAATCTAGACTGACATTCAAGTGTAGTATTGCGAGAATGCTGCATTATCAGAAGGGCTGTTTTTTGGATGAGATGTTCGGATAGATATTAAAGATCCCGTGACATTACTTGAAAAGAAAAGGGAAGTTTTTTTTCTGGTATCCGAGCCAACAAAATTCCAGAAAACAACAATAACTTGCACTTATATAGGACCCTCAACGCAGTGTCTCAGAGAGCCCTTGACCCCGAATCAGGGGTGGGGGTGGGGGGGGGGTGGGGGAGGTGATCGTAAGCATGATCGAAAAGGAAGGTTTTCAGGCAGGAGTTGAAAAAGGGGAGAAGGGACAAGGTGGAGGGATTGAGGGAGAGTGTTCTTGAGTTTCGGGGGGAAGTGGCTGAATGTACGACCTCCAATGGTGAGCGGAGAGCACGGGGGATAAGCAGGAAGCTGGTGCCAGTCGAGCAGAGGCACCGGGTGGTGGATTGGGGAGTGAGGAGGTTGGAGAGGTAGGGAGGTGCCAGGGAGTGAAGGGATTTGAACACGAGTGTGAGGATCTTGAAGTTGATCCGTTCGTTGACGGAGAGCCAGTGGAGCCTGGGCAGAACTGGTGAGATGTGGGTATGGAGTTTGATCCGGGTAAGTCTGTGAGCGGCAGAGTTTTGAATAAGCTGGATTTTTGGAATAGTGGAGCTGGGGAGCCCGGCAAGGAGTGCATTTTGAGTAACCCAGGCGGGAGCTGACAAATCATGCACAAGAGTTTTGGACGCATTTGGGGTAAGGTACGGTGAAAGGCAGGCAATGTGGCGGAGATGGAAGAAGTGGTCCTGGTCAAGGACCAGATGTGGGAGAGGAAGGAAAGTTGGGGGTCGAACCAGACGCAAACTGCAAACTGGTTGCAGTGAGTCTGAGGGAGAGCCCAGGAAGGTTGAGAAGTTCAGATCCGCAGAAGTGAACACTTCGAAGAAAGCCAAGGATTATGACTTCCGTCGTATCCACATTCAGCTGCAGGAAGTCTAATCCAGGCCCTGATGTCTGCCAGACAAGCTGATAGAACATTGACGGACCTGAAGTCGATATTGGAGGAGACGAAGTGTGTCATCCACACACACATGGAAGTTTACCCCATGTCTGTGGATGACATCACCCAGAGGGAGCATATAGATGAAGAAGAGGGCCAAGGATGGAGCCCTGGGGTACCAAGCAGGTGACTGGGCTGGGGCAGGAGGAGAAACCATTTACCAAGATGAAGTGGTGGCGGTTAGTTAAGTAGCTAAACTGGTCATTCACTTCATGGCTGATTTTAGGATCTTGCTGTGCCCTAAATTCACTGCCAGATGTGCCCACAAATAGTCACAAATTTCCAAACCAGCACTCTGAGGAATTTCAAGATGATGGTACAAATGCAGTGATTAGTACTTAGCCAATAGCAACAACAAAATTACATTTGTATAGCGACTTTCACGTCGGGAGGACGTCCCAAGGTACTGGACAGTTAGTGTTTTGGACCTGAGCTAGGGGTCGGGATCGGGAAGGGTGGCGGGCTGGAGGGAGGGTGATCAAAAGCACGGTCAAAGAGGAGGATAGCCAAGGTAGGGTTTGTCAAATTATATCGGAATCAGTCCTGGTTGTTGCACTTTACCTCTGCAAATTCTAACACAAAGCTAATCGTCTTAAACTGCAAGTTTCAGCACATGTAATCCTATTAAAATATAAATTTTGAAATAATCTATAGCATTCTTTAGTTTTTTTCTTTTAACAAAAAATTGCAATTTCATTGATCAGAAAGTGTAAAATTCACTGCTTTTCAACACTCTTGGCAGATTGTAAGACATCGTATATGGACATCCATGAAAAATTTAGTCACTGTGAAATCGTTACCAAAAGTCAAAAAATGAAAAACTTCCAAAACAGTAAACAAAGCAAAACTACATCGATGCACTCAAATATAATGTTTAGAAGCGTTCAATGGAAAAATTTCACCCACAAAATATACTTTACAGTATATTCGATGAAGCACTTTGAGACACCTCAACTAAATCATTAGGCATTTTATCAAATGCAAGGATTATTATTATTGAATTTGATGGTTTGCAAAACATTGCAAAACATTGCTCTCAATTACTTCAACGTCATATACTGAGTCCTAGCTTGCTGTTGAGCAATTCATCTTATATTGCCTGTACACAAATTTACTCTGTAAAAACAGAATAACATTTTGCTCCATAACGTGAGTAATTGAAATATCCACTGGTTTTAACATGTTGAATAGGTTGGTGTACTTTCAGAAAGGCACTCACGTATTACTATGTTAAAAAAAATCCTGTTGGAAGCGTTTTGAGATGCCATCCTGACGTGAAAGGCGCAACGCAGAATGTATTTTGTAGCAATATATTTAAATGCAATGTATCCTGCATCCAAATATTGAAGGGGAAAGAAATCTGAATAAAAGTCACAATAGGAACAAATGTCATTCTATGTTCTTTACACAGCAAGGCTCAAAGTTACTTTACCTGATAAAACTCAAGTGAACACCAAGGGATCGATGTGTCCCAGAGCAGTCAATGCAGAGAAAGACGCCATACGTTATACTGGCCCAGGTGGGGTTCTTGGTACAGCAATCAAAACAGGCCTGAAACAACAGATTTTCAAAGGACATCAGCAGGCAACGCTCATTCAGTCTGGAACAACTTTTAGACAGTCAGGCAAAGCTGAAAATTCTGCTATGGCAACACTCTCTGAAAGCATAAAATACAAAAACTTCAAGCTGCTGTCTAGTGTTTTGCTCAACAGCACATTTATTATTACGAAAAGAGTTCAAAGAAAAAAAGCACAGGAATCACTTGTTAAGAAAATCTATAAAGCAGCCACAATTTTTTTAGAAGACATATTTTCCTGTTTTTTTCAAGATTCTACCCATGTGCGGCATCACTTCCAAACACTGAAGACACAATTATAATTTGCGTCTACCTGTCCCAGGCAGGGTGAAACTTTAAGCAAGTTTCCTTACTCCACACACCTCTGTTTAAGCCTAGCATTAGTAGGAACCCACTTGTTAGTTGATTGGCGGATGGCTTTCCGGGGATAATAATCCCTTCAAAAAAACAATTTATCACTCATTCCATGACTGTTTGTGGGTCATTGCTGTGCACATTTGGCTGCCGCATTTCGCCTCGCAAAATATACAGTCAATCCACGCTTTGACATGTCTCAACGATTTGATAAGGCGCTATATCAAATTAGAGGATTATTATTATTTTTATTATTTTCCAACAAGTGAAAATTGCTAGGTTTGTTCATTAGTATAAAAATTTAAAAGCACCATGGCTATTTGTGGAACTTGGCTGGTTGTGTTTGCCTACAAAACCAGTCACTTGCATTTAACACTCATTACCGTTTCAACACATTTCGATGTGATAAGACGGTATAAAATTGTGGGTTCAGTTAACTACAGTATAGGATATTTTATGCATTTAAGGAAGTTGACAAGTAAACAACAGTTTTAAAAGAAACTAGTAATATTACAATAAAATATAATGCTGACTGATGTATTCCATAAAAATAATGGATTGAAAATGAATCAATCAGCCTGGTGCAATAGTAGCACTCACGCCTCTAAGTCAGAAAGTTTCTGAATTCAAGCCCCGCGTCAGGACACAGAATCACATAGTCTAACATTCCAATGCAGTGCTGGGGGTGTGTAGCATTGTCGGAGGTGCTATCCTTCGATGAAATGTTAAACTGAGGTCCCATCTGTCTGTTCAAGTGAGTAGCACAATTCAAAAAGAGAGTGGAGTTTCTTCTGGTATCCTGACTAACAATCCCTCCAAATAAAATTGGTTAGTTCATTCCATGGCTGTTTGTGGGACAATGCTGTGCACATCTGGCTGCCGCATTTCGCAAACAAAATACAGGCAATCCACTTTACAGTACATCCTGTGAGGTGCTTTGAGACATTCTCAACAACGTGATAAGGCGCTATATCAATTGCAAGGTTTGATATCAAAATGTACATGGGCAATTTTCATTGGTTTCATTTGGTCAAGTATTTCCTGGAATAATCTGACTAACACCTTCCACACCTAGTTTTTTATTGTAATGGCAGAGGAAGGAGTTTCACTAAAAATAAGAAGTGTGGACTTTTCATACAATCAGCAGGAACAGTACAACCAAATACATCCTGTTTCACCAGGATACTCGCTGGTACAGAATTTAGTAAACACTTCAAAATGTAATTCAGAGATCTGGAAACCCTAAGAATTTAAGTGGGCAATTTTAAGAATTAAGAATAATATAGCATTGCCTTCCAAGATTAACAGAGCTAAGTGGGAAGAATTTCTTCTCCCAGTGAATCTCGTCCACAGTTGATTCTAAATCAATCGTGGACAGAGGAACCAAACCCGAGCACATTAACGGAAGTAGATTCTGGATGTTAAAGCACCGACTTTTCAGATGCGTATAATTGGTTTCCAGCATAAAAAGCATATCCAGTTGTATCCTAGGACAAGAGAACATTTAGGAAGAGAAAACAACTACAACAAATTACACTTGTATTGCGTCCTTCACATTGGAAAGACGTGCCAGGGCACTGAACAATTAGGGGTTTTGGATCCGAGCTGGGATTTGGGGTCAGAAGGGCAGGGGAGTGAGGGTGGGACAGTGGCCAAATGCATGATCAAAGAGGAAGGTCTTTAGACAGGTCTTGAACGAGGCAAGAGAGGGAGTGAGGTGGAGGGATTACGGGATAGAGTTCCAAAGTGTGAGGGCAGAGATGCCAAATGCCCGACCGCCAATGGTGGGCCGGGAATTGCGGGGGAACTGTAGCAGGCCGGTGTCCACCAAGCGGAGGGAGTGGACAGGCTGTTATGGAGTTAGGAGGTTATAGAGGTAAGGGGGGAGCAAGACCGTGGAGGGTTCTGAAGGTTAGAACGAGGGTTTTGAACTCAATTCTCTGAGGGATGGGAGCCAGTGATGCTGGGACTCAGGTGAATGTACGACTCAGGCAATTATACGATTTATAAAGATAAGACTTCAGTGAATTTTACTGTTACATGTACCTAAACAGTAAGCATCGCACCTCACAAAGAATTTGGTCAGATGGGCAAGGATGGGGGTGATCAGTTCAAAAATGCCATTAGGCCAAATAAGTCTGTTCCTATCCAACTGAACTCACAATGGATAACCTACTGGAGCCTGTCTGCCTCAGTCCCAACATCAATGTTTTACACAAAATATAAGGCAAAATATCTTGCCTGCAAAACATAGTCATTACACTTTACAGTAAATCCTGTGAAGCACTTTAAGACATCCTCCAGACGTGAAAGGCTTATATTAAGCACAAGGACTATTATTATCATTATAGAGTAATGAACTGTATGCTTTGGACATCACATCTGTGGAATGTTATAATAATAATCCTTGCATTTGATATAGCGCTTTTCATGTCGGGAGGACGTCCGAAAGCGCTTCACAGAACACACTGTAAAGTGAATTGACTGTATTTTTTGGGGGCGAATGCGGCAGCCAATTGCGCACAGCAATGTCCCACAAACAGTCGTAGATTGAAAATGACCAATTTATTATCGTTTTTGGTTTTGGAGGGATTATTATTAGGCTCTGTGTGGAGTAAGGAAACTTGCCCAAGGTTTCGCCCTGCCGGGAGTTGAACTCAGGTCTCTCGCTTGCAAAGCGAGTGCTCTAACCACTGAGCTACACGACTCCAATGTTATGGACATTGGGTGTCAGCCTAGTTCAGTTGGTATCATTCTCACCTCAGAGTCAGAAGGTTCAAATCCCAGGTCAGGACACGGAACCCTTTTAGTCTATGCTGCAATGGTGGGATTGTACCACATTGTCATTGGTGCCGTCCTTCAGATGAGGTTGTGCGAAGAAATCAAAGTGGTTGTGATAGGAAACTGAATGGGACTCAGGTGAATGTACGACTGAGGCAATTATACGATTTATAAAGATAAGACTTCAGTGAATTTTACTGTTACATGTACCTAAATAGCAAGCATCGCACCTCACAAAGAATTTGGTCAGATTTGTAAATTAGATTGGCTTGTATTTGAAAATTCAATCTTTCATATGGTTCTCATTCACAACCTTCTGGCACGCTGAATACACTGTGTATTTGGGTCGATTTGCGGATCACTTTCCAGGGGTAATAGTCCCTTCCAAAAAAACAGCGGTCACTCAATCCACGTCTATTTGTGGGACACAGTTGTGCACAATTGGCTGCCACATTTTGCCCACAAAATACACGGTCACTACACTTTACAATAGATCCTGTGAAGTGCTTTGAGACATTTCAACGACTTGATAAGATGCTTTATCAAAAGCAAGGACTATTATTATTATTACGGCTGGTACACAAAATACACAGTCACTACATTTTTTTTTAAAAAATCATCTTCCGAATAAAACTTTACTGGAGCTTCCTCAAGGGGAAATCCTTTGGTTAACATTCAGAAAGCTCTTCAGACTGACTTTCCTGACCCTCCACAGTTACCCGATGAACTGCACCGAGGCTCACCTTTATTTGTAAACATTGGTATTTCAACAGTAACAACAGCCACAGCGTCAGGGACCTGGAGAGGCCACAATCACACACACACATACACACACACCCACACTCACATACAGACACCCACACAGACAGACACACAGACAGACACCCCCACACAGACACCCACACACAGACAGAAAACACACACCCACACACAACCCCCACACACCCACACAGACACACACAGAAACCCCCACAAACACCCACCCACACCCACACAGACACCCCCACAAACACCCACACACACACCCACACACCGACACAGTGACAGCCCGATCCCCGACCACAGCCTCCAGCTCCCGGCTCCCACCTCACGTCCTCTCTCCCCGGGCTCCTCACCCCCAATCTTCTTGTCTCTCCCCTCTCCCCCCCGGGCTCCCCCTCTGCCGGTCTCTCCTCTCCCCATCTCCCGTCCCCCGGTCTCCCCCTCCCCGGTCTCCCTCCCCCGGTCTCCCCCTCCCCCGGTCTCCCCCTCTGCCGGTCTCTCCTCTCCCCATCTCCCGTCCCCCCGGTCTCCCCCTCCCCCGGTCTCTCCTCTCCCCCGGTCTCCCCTCCCCGGTCTCCCCCTCTGCCGGTCTCCTCTCCCTCTCCCCCCGGTCTCCCTCCCCGGTCTCTCCTCTCCCCCGGTCTCCCCTCCCCCGGTCTCCCCCGGTCTCTCCTCTCCCCCGGTCTGCCCCGGTCTCCCCCCTCTGCCGGTCTCCCCTCCCCCGGTCTCCCCCGGTCTCCCTCCCCCGGTCTCCCCTCCCCGGTCTCCCCCTCCCCCCGGTCTCCCCCCGGTCTCCCCCGGTCTCCCCTCCCCCGGTCTCCCCTCTGCCGGTCTCCCCCGGTCTCTCCTCTCCCCGGTCTCCCCCCGGTCTCCCCTCCCCCGGTCTCCCCCTCCCCCGGTCTCCCCCGGTCTCCCCCTCCCCCCGGGGCCCGCGGCCTATCCGCACTGTGCGACGTGTCACTCGAGCCGCCGCTTCGGATGTCTGACCGGCCGCGGCCCCGGGGGAGCGAGAGAGCCGCGGCCCCTCCCCTCCCCCGGGCCGCCGGGGCCCCGCTGGCCGCCTCCCCGCCGACCGTCAGGCCGCTCACCTTGTTGGTGGAGACGGAGCGTAACCGTTTGAAGATGGAGCCGATCTCCTGTTTATTGGCCTCCGACATCTTGGCAGAAGCGGCGGCGGCGGCGGCGTCAGCGGCTGGAGAGCACTTCCGGGGTCAGAGGGTGGAGAGCACTTCCGGGGTCAGAGGGGAGAGTGTGAGCCTCACTCACTCACTCACTCACTGCTGTCCTGGGGCTGAGGGTTCAATCCCCGCCCCTCCCTCCCTCCCTCCCTCCCTCCACACTGTCAGCTCTTAACACCAAGTGTTTTGTGTGTGTTGTTTTCCTCAGTGAGGTTAGCTCTCTGGCCTCGAGTCACAAAACTCTCCGGACTTTCCTCTCCGACAGCGCCTTCGGTTATCCTGACCCACCGCCAACAGCCCCCCCCCCCCCCCCCACCCCGGGATCCGTGACTGTGAAGCGCTCTGAGACGCCGTCCGGCGTGGAGGGCGCTGTATAAATCCAAGTTGTTGTGCGTGTCCCCTCCCACCTTTGCCCTCCACCCCTCTGGCTCCAGCCCTCCAGCTCCTCCACTGTCCCAGCGCCCTGGGACATTCTCCCGCCGCGAAAGGCGCTGTGTCAATTTTGTTCATATCGCTGTAGTATTTCCCCCACAAATACGCGGTCGCTCCACTTCACAATATAACTCCTGTGAAGCGCTTTGAGGCATCACAACAACATGATAAAGTACCTCCCATCAAATGCAAGGATTGGAATTATTATAAATGCAATGTCTTGTTGTTTTGCACTCATCATTCAGACTGATAACCACTGGCTCAATTGGTAGCACTCTTAGCCACAGACTTTGGGCTCATGTAGACGAGGCTGACACTACAATACAGGGGCAACTCTGCAGTCTCAGAGGGCCTTCCAAAGCACATTAAACCAATTTGTGAATTCTCCAGGATCAACAATTCCTCCAGATTAAAAGAGCGATCATTAATAAATAATCATTGTATTTGAATAATGTATCTTTGACAGTGGGGGGACATCTCAAGCACTTCACGGGATTTGCTGTGAGCTACTTCATATGCAAATGCAGCAACCAATTTGCACACAATAATGTCCAAACATCCACAAAGCTACCAATTTAATTTAGAGGGACGGTTAGCCAGGACACTTGGATCTTTAACCCATGGCAAGCTTTGTCTGTCCATCTGAGAAGGCAGACAACAACAACAACAAATTACATTTGTATAGTGCCTCTCATGTTGGAAGGACATCCTCAGGCAGTGGGACTTCATGGTCACGGTTTAATGCCTCAACTGTACAGCGCACCTCAAACACTGTATTGGAGCATCAGCCTGGACTGTATGAGTTCAAAGTCCTGAGCGGGCATGTCTATTTGCCAAAGCCATACAAATGAGGACCTGGATTAAGCAGCTGGTGCTGAGTAAGTCTGGTACATGGCATTGGACGTGCACCTCAAGAACATCAAGGTATCTGGCACGTCACAAGCTGAACCTCAAAGGTTCGCACACCACGCTGAAGGCAGATGTCCGGCAGATGGCTGATGAGGAAACTCTGAGGCTTGGGGCAACAGCTGCTGGAAGGCGTTACCTTGAGACCGAGTTTGTGACACACATTCGTATATCCAGCGTTTGGAATCCACCTTGATTGTCCTGCAGAGATGCAAGCAGCTGAACTCCGCACCTCCAATGGTGAAACCATCACTCAATGGGAAGGGATATGTGCCCGAGCTGCGGACAAGAAGATGGTGGCAAAGATCTCATTTCATGCTGAAATACGTTGCAAACCGGAAAGCTTGCAGGGAGTTCCTTGTACCTACTGTCCACCTAGTGAGGCTCAAATCCGTGCTTGTCGGATGTCAAATGACCAATGACAGTGCTCCTTGTGGAGAGGTAAGCGGGGTCTCCTTGGAGCTGAACTGGCACTAAGGTGTTACATGGCTGGTAACAGAATGTCAGAATCGGGCCTGCCCTCTGACGGTCTCGGTAGTCCAGTTCCTGAGCCAGGCAGATCCGCAGTATTCCAGGGCACTGCTGATGACAGCACAACCAGCCTGGAAGGGCAGACCAGTCACTGGGGGCAGGGAGTCCGACAAGCATGGGTTTGAGCCTTCACTAGGTGGATGGTTGGTACCAGGTAGGTACTGTGAGCTTCCTGGTGGGCAACAAAGCTCATATTGCCTCGAGCCTCAAAGTTTCCTCATCAGCTATCTGGCAGACATCTGCCTTCAGTGTGGTGGGAAGACCTTTACAGGACAGCTTGTGATAGCCTCCTTGATGTCCTCGAGGTCCAAATCCAATGTACCAGGATTACTCAGCACCAGCTGCTTAATCCAAGTCCTCATGCAAGGGGCCTTGATAAATAGACGTGCCCACTATGAAGCCGTCTGCTCCTCCAGAGTACTTAGTAACAGGCTATATAAATCCAAGTTGTTGCTATCATCGTCGTCAGTGTAGCCTGGATCCCTCCTTCCTCGCAACCAATTCCCACATTAAAAGTCCTTTAAAAGAACACGGTAAGCCACAAAGATATCAGGTGTCTAAGTTATCCATCAGTACCTAGGGTCGCTATGTATTAGAAATAAGTAGGAACTATTTCACTCAAAGTAAATATGATATATATTCAACAAGTTATCAGGTCATTTATGCATATAATGTAAATTAGTTTAAGAGACAACTAGTTATGTTAGAGAAGAAAAATTGAGATATGAGGTGAGCTAGCAGGAAGTAGAGCTAAGATAAAAGAGACAGCAAGCCTTTTCCTGCTCCCAGAATTTCCAAAATACTAATAAAATCCTTGTCTTTGATATCACACCAAAATGTCTCAATGTGCTTCACAGAATTGTGAAGTGTAGTGATCATATTTTCAGGCAAATACAGCAGCCATTTTGTGCAAGCCAATGTCCAATTTGTATTTTTTTATCTGAGGGATTGTTAACCAGGACACAGGGAGAAATTCTTTTCTCTTTTTGAATAATACATGGATTTTTAATATCCATATGAACAGGCAAACAGGACCCTTAATTTAACATCTGCAGCACAGTCATGGAGTGTCTGACTGGACTAGGAGCTAAAATACCATGTTCCACGGAAGATAAATGCTAGAATGTTCATCTATTGAGTTTAAAGGTTTTCCATTATTTAGCTGGAAAAAATAATTTCTGCAAATATTTGCTTCAAATGAAATATTTATTATTAAATGTGCAAAAACAAGATCTGTTTTGCAGATATATTTTAAGGTGAAATTCATACCTGTCCAAAACTGGATTACCAGACACAGAAATGTAAAACTCTCCTTCACCATTTCACAGTTTCCTTCAAATAAACATTATGCCAAAATTCTCTTCAAGCAAAACAAACATCTAACATTGATTTTTTTATTTGTAAGAGCTCCTGTTGCTTCTTTACTCTGATTATTTTAACTTTTATTTTCTCTTGACTTTTAAATTATTTTCCCTTCTGTTGTTGCTTGATTTAGCAGAAAAGCCACTTAGGCGACTCAATGCATGTGTTATGCAGATGAAAGTATTGGCAAAAGTGGATTTGGGACACTTAGGCTGCCGGACTCTCGGTGGGTGTAAAGTCAAGACATAAAGGCTTTGTGCTGCCGATTACATGATGTTAATGTCCCTGCAGCAGGCTAGGTAAACAAACTCAACTCAAAGAAGAAGACTTATCGTGAAGCCGCTTTCATCTCAATGGCAAGTTGGTTGTTTTGGGATTACCATCCTCTCCATCCTTTATTACCACCCCATACTCACTGAAGATATAACAGTTTAAGAACAGCCTCGGACAAATGGCAATGCAAGAAGCTGTTGCAGGGCCTTAAAGTATTGTCGAGGAATTGTTTTACTTAATCCAATTCCCCGGCAAATACAAAGTGTGCTGGTGGAAATACCATGGTAACACATTGAGTTAAAGTGGTGACAAAGGTCAGTGCATTTTAAATGAAGAATGTTCTGAAGTTTGTTACTTAGCACCAAGATGCTCGATTGCACAGCCTAAGACGCTTTAGGTGGCCATGGGCTCCTGATTTCACATTGCACAATGAAAGTATTCCCTGCAAATAATGAGAGCAGGGAGCACGGGTCATTAAATACAGAGGCTAAACACTGGGCAAGCTTTGCTATGGTCCACGTCCACAGTGGTTGATCAGATGATCAGGGTCCACTGCAAGGAGAAAGACCAAGATGGACTATGATGTGGCAGAATCTGGAAACTTTGGGGAAATCCTCCCAAAACAGATTGAAGCTTTGACTGATACAAAGGCAAGTGGGTGCTTCCCTCCTTCTGTTCCTAATTCAACATTATCCACTTTTCCCCGGGGAAACCAAAGTCCTTTGCACTGGTCACATTTTAACGTACTACAATCCAGGGAGCAGGAATCTGTGCAGGACACTTCAGCTGGTAGCATGGCCAGTCTGTTCCCTGGATCATCGTACCTGGTACAAGATGTTCTGTGCAAACCTCTGGAATACAGCACATTCCATCCCCAGGGACCTGAGTACATGGATGTAGACACTGAGACATTGCTGGAACAGATTCAGTCCTTGTTACTTCGAGAAGTTTGCAAAGAGATCCAGACTGCTTGTCGACTGCTGAACATATCACCAGGTAATGAGCAGAAACTCAGCCAGGCCAGAGCTCTAAAGCTCATGTTTACAGAAACCAAAAATCCAAACGTTGTCAGTATAAAATTTGTAAAAGTTTGATCTGTGTGATATAAAGTAATGATATACAGTGTAAGGTGTGTATCTGTGAGTTGTTAGATAATTTGAGAAGATATTATTGAATTTTAGAAATGTGCCCACTTTTTTAATATTTGCCCCAGAGCTTCTGTTTGCACCTGTATTAATACAAACACTTACTGTGTTGATCTGTTGAATCAAGGTTGAAACAGTTTGTGAGAAAATAAATAGTTGAGGTTTCATTTGATTCGGGTAAAAATGGATTTCCAATAAATATTAACATAAATCCTTAGACAACTGTTATGATAGCACTCATATTGAGGGCAATTGAATAAACAGATGTAAACGATTTCAATAATCATTTACTGACCAGAGTCAAGAGACTGAAATCATAGAAAAATAATTAAACAATGCTCTGTCCAACGATTAAATACCCTGGCTTCAGTGCGTAAATAGCTGCTGAAATGAAACAAAGCTAGCAACAGCACTTAATTAAATGTATTAATTAATTCCACAGCCGATTGCGAAACAGGGAATTACAACATAAAAAACTAAGTTGAATTGACTCCTACAATTAACCCCGCTGACAAATGTTGATGACTGAGCTGGATAACACACAACGTACCATGTGGTTGAATAAATTAGCAACATAAACTGTTCACTCACTAAATCAATCAACTGAAGAAACTCTGATTATTTCGGATATTGACTGGAACATGTTCTTGTCAATAATTTGTGTTGATTTCATCCGCAACAACTCCTTTCTTCCTAAGCTGGAAGGATGAAATCAGGTGGGCCGAAAGGCCTACTTTACCCGAAACTTTCTTGCAATCTTGTGAAGCACACTGAGCGGGAAGATCCTCTTATCTCACCCTGGCTGCTCTGTGTCCTCTGTAGACCACCGACCTAGTTCTTCATTTGACCCTTGACAAGTTTGGCCAAAGAAATTGCCCTGTTAACAGTTGTGTTCCTTCAAACCAAAAATGAAGGGCTGGTGACTGCAACAGAAATGGTTGTATTTATAGTACATAGAACTCTCATCTTCTCAGGAGCCTCTAAATCTTTCACAAAGGTATTGTCCAATAAAATCATGTCCAAAGGAAAACAATTCTTCTGATCTACTTAACTCATTGCTTTAAACTCTTTAAAGATCCCACGGAATGGAGTGCAGACAATGTTGGCAAATGGATTCTATGGACAGAACACCAATACAAACTGCCCAACATTGGGAAGAAAGGTTTCTTGAATCTGAGTGGAAGAGAGATGTGCTATCTAACGGTGGAGCAGTTTAAAGAGAGAGCAGCAACCGGTGGGGATGTGCTTCATGCACATCTGGATATATGGAAATCAGGTACCCGTACCGCTCTTCATTTCAATGTGGAAGGAAAATATCAAGACGTAATGAGTTCATTTAACTTGAAATGGTTTGATCATTGTTAAAAGGTCAAATTTACTTCGATATATATTCGCATTGAAGAAAGTCACTGGGGCTGATAATCTTCCCATTCAACTCCTGATAGCCATGCAGACTAAAGCCCTAACAAATAGAGTGGTGCTAATGGATAGCTGGACAAGTAGCAAGAAGCTTGAAGCAGAAGAAGTGCTCTGTAATGTAAGGCTGTGTGTTTCTAGCTGCTCAAGACCCTGGATTTCTCGATCCACTCTCTGGGGTCCGCAGAGAGCCTTGGCACTTGTCAAGTTGTAGCAAAATTATTTGGGATTCGGGAACCAGGGTGACCATCTCTGGGGAGAAAGTGTACACTCCATTCTAGGCAAATAGAAATCATACATATGTGGATCTTTCAATGATTGGCTTGGAGAATTTTCAGCATGGTGGTGGATTTCCACGCATCAGGCAGCTGCTTGATCAGAAATAATTAATAATCCTTGTGTTTGGTACGGTGATTTGTTAAAACATTTCAAGGCACTTCAAAGGATATATTGTAAAGTGTAGTGACTTTGTATTTTGTAGGCGAATGCGGCAGGCAATTTGCGGACAACAGTGTCCCACAAACAGCTGAGAAGCGAATGATTACTTTCATTATTTGGGGAAATTGTTGGCTTGGACACCAGGAGAAACTCCCTTCTCCTTTCAATTAGTGCCATGGGATCTTTAGCATCCACCTGAACAGGCCGGCAGGCCCTTGGTTGAATGACTAATCCAGAAGACGGCACCTTCAACAATGTAACGTACCAGTATTCTCAGGGTGGGTCTTGAATACCACAATTTTGCGTGCCAAGCACGCAAGCAGCTGAGCATCTAAACTCCTGAAATTAAGTTAAAAATATATATGGAATTAGTTTTATTATTTAACAGTGAATGATATATTGAACTGGAATGTTGTAGATTTCCTTACAGTCTGAAAATAATGATGGATTTCTGTTATGATAAAAGATCATATGAGGTTCGTTAATTCTTTTACATCAATATTGAACACAGCAATTTTAAAGTGGCCACTTGCTGCGATCAAAGTATCCGTTAAATTAAAAAAGGTAGTGAACAGGTGGCAGAGGAAGTCACCCACACCAAGGGCTCAACAAACCATTTACTTTTTCCTTTCATTAAATCTCTCAACTGGTCAGCGTATTGTGATGCCCTCTCACCTATCTGGAGTTGATCGTTAATTTGGATATTTGGGACTGACAGCCCATAGTCCAGGCTGTCACTGCAGTCAGCATTGTCACGGGTGTCATCCTTCAGATAAATCATTAAACCAAGGTCCTCTTTGCCTGATCAAATGGACATTAATGATCCTGTGGTATAAATCAGAAAGAAAAGAGTTTTCCCTGGTGCTTTGGTGAATAATCCCCCAGATTTGAATGCTAGGTTTGCTTACAAATACAGTCACAAACGTTACAATAATCCTGTGAAGAGCACTGAAACATTTTGACAATGTGATAATGTGCTATATTAAATATAAGGATTATTAATACTATTCTTTTGAGATCACAGACTGGGTGGTTATGATGCAACAGTTTGCAACAACAGATGGCTCTTTCTCTGTGAACTGCAGATATCTGCACTAGATATCTGCCTGAAGTTTGATTTGCATTAAGTGGGCCTGTTAAATTGCAACATAGCTAGCATATATGTGGTGGAACTTCATCCCCATTAAATTGTGAGAATGTTTAATTGAAGCTACTATTTGAAATTCACCAAAATTCTAGGAAGTTCAGCAGTTGCAATATCCAATTGTTTCAATCCATGTAAAGGTTTTGCTTTACAAGGAATCAATAGAATATTGGTTAGAGTAATTGCCTCGCAAGCGAAAAGACCTGGGTTCAGTTTCTGGGTGGGGCAAACCGTAAGGCAAGTTTCCTTACCGCACATGCCTGTTTACCTAGCAATAAGTAGGAATCCGGTTGTCAGTTGATTAGTGGATCACTTTTCCAGGGGTAATAAATCCCTTACAAAAAGAATGTTAAAAAAAGGAATAATTTAGTCACTCAATCCACGACTATATGTGGGACAGTGCTGTGCGCAATTGGATGCTACATTTGGTCCACAAAATATACAGTCAATTCACTTTAAATTATATTCTGTGGAGCACTTTGAGGCGTTAGGAAGACGTGATAAGGCGCTATATCAAATGCAAAGATTATTATTCTTATTAATCCAAATATTGGAGCAAATCAAACTACAGCCATATGCCAAGTACACAAGAGTTTGATGTATAAGTGCCCACCCAATGACTTATACCTGCAATATCTAGGCTGAGAATCAAGCATTCAGCATCTTGTGGTAGACTTCAGTTTTAACATTTAAGATAAAGGATTACTGCTTTCAGAACGTGGAATGTCAATCAGTTTTCGTAATGCCCTTTGATTTTTAAGTGCGGAGTCTGTCGTTGTTTAAAGTTTACAAACTAATTTTCATGTGTTCACAGTTGCAAGAATGATGTGCAGTGAAGCAGTAGAGGATAATACATGCAAAGGTACTTCCTTTAGACTATTTAATCAACTGAATTGTGAATTTTAAAATTGGGTTCAAAAAACACTGAAATTAATCGACCTTATTTATATTCATAGAATAATGGAATGTTACATCCCAGAAGCTGCCCATTAAATCTGTGCTGGTGTTTTTACTCCACACGTGAAACCTAACCTAATCCCACATAATTGCTTGCTCCTCACACCCTTTTATATTCTTCTTTCTCAGCGTCTATATCATTTCCTCTTAAGATAATTATTAATGGGCTCCACTGCATTGAATATTTGAGACAGAGAATTCCACATTCTAACCAAGTTACACGTCAAAGAGGCAAATGTGCCTGAATTATCATTGATTTTAAAAAATGGTCCCTTTTGCGATTTCATACGTGTACACGGTACTCAGAGACTAATGTACTGTAATGAGAGAACAGAGCTTAAAACAACTAGTAGACCTTAAGGAACAGATCCAGTGAAGATCATAGTTGACTAGTTTGATGTCTTTTTCCCCTGTCTTCCTCAAGGCTGACAATCCTGAGCTCTCTAAGGACAAACCCGCGCCAAGTTGTTGTTGTTTTCATGTGGTGCTAAGGGCTTTTCTTTTCAGTTCCAGATGAAGATCAGGTACAGAAGCCAAATGAAGCCAGCTTACGCTCAGATACTCAGCCAGTTCACCTCTGGCTGTTTTTGAAAGATCTCTTATTGAAACCACACAATTATGGAAGGTTTATCCGATGGTTAGATAAAGAGAAAGGTAATATGAATTCTGTTCTAATTTCATCGGCAAAATTCTGTTCATGCACAAAAACAGCAACGATTGAGCTGCTGGTTCAGGGCCAAACTGACAAACATTAATCTTCAATGGGAAGAAACTTGGCTTCATGTATTTTGTGCCTGATTCCAGCTACCTTACGCCTTACAAAAGAGTCCCAGAGATCTGGTGATGAGAGAGAGTTGTTGAAAATGGATAGGTATTGGGAGTGCAATGGACACTGCCAAGATCTACCCATTATGGTGGGAAAAGAATCTGTAACTCATTGTAACACTTTGCATGAGGTGGGCTCTGCAACATTGCTAGCTTTGGTAGTTGGTAACACATACTGCGGTTTACTTTCTTTTAAAAAAATCTAAACTTGCTGAGAGTTTTGAGATTAAGGTTGCAGGAGGTACATAAACCACACCAGTTCTGGGCTTGATAACTCGTCCGCCTGTTAGCATAACATTCACTTCCACCAAACATGCTGATGACAGGAAGGTTATTCACCAACAAAAAGCACACACCATCACTGCACTTTACAGTATATTCTGTGCAGCACTTTGGGATATCCTCCCGATGTGAAAGGCTAAATGTGAAGATTGTTATTATTCACCAGCAAGTAGCAGTCCTTATTAATTGACACAAAAATAACTATTTGTTCTACGTCTTATCTTTAAAACAGGCATATTTAAGATCGAGGATTCAGCACAAGTGGCTCGGCTGTGGGGGATTCGAAAGAACAGGCCAGCGATGAATTATGATAAACTCAGCCGTTCAATCCGGCAATATTACAAAAAGGGTATCATTAAGAAACCAGACATTGCGCAGCGACTAGTCTACCAATTTGTTCACCCACTGTGAAGCTGCTCCCAATACATATGGTATCATTGCTCCACCTTCATTTGCTCCTATTAACTGGTTTTGCATCTCATTTAGAAGTGCAGGGCAGGTTTTAGAATAATTTTATTATTGCAAGGAAATACCAAACTGACGAGGCTTCCTAACAATTTACTGGATTTAGTGCAAACTACTTAAGGGGAGGAAAACTTACATTGAACCGTCAGTATCTTATTCTGCTTAGGTCAGGTGTCAGCCCTTTGTATTTGTCTGACTTGCCGATAGGTGGTGTACAAGTGGGATGAGGTCGTTTTTTTTCATTCTGGAAGAAACATCGAAACGACGAAGACAAAATGGAATGAGAATGGTAATCATGATAATCATGCTATATAAATAATAATGCAACTTGTTGTTGTAGTAGTACACAACGCAGATGGTTGAATCAGACTACACTTAGGTTCATTTAGAATCAGCCTGAATTCTTACTCCTTGCTTGAAGGCAAAAATGGCGCGCAAACTTCCCAACGTCTTAATTCATTTGGTCAGATGTACATTATGGATACAGAACCTAGGCATGGGCTTCAAGGCAACAGGAACAGGTTTTTGGGATCCACACAACAGATGCTTACTGACCTTCACCCACCATGTCATCTGGAATTAATGGCTCAGAGCAGCCCAGTGTCTACTAATGAAAAAACAACACTTGTTACAATAGTACAAGAGCCTCGATAGAAATATTGGGTCATATATTAATTCTCATGTTATGGTTTAAGAGGATATAGCATAGGAACTTCTGTGTTGTAATCGCTTGTTCATATTTTGTGTTTGTGTAAATTTAGAGTTACAGATTGTAACATTTCGCCGACAGGTAAAAAGGGCTTTTCTACTTGGCTTCAAGTTTTCTCTCTTCTAAAGTCGCTTACACCATGTGGATTTCGAGAAACAAAACATCCATATACTAGTACCATCAGGTGGTCAACTATAGCAGTGAGAGACATTTCCAGCAAAATATATTCCAGTATCAAGTAGTATAATATGAATAGTGTAAGATATAAAACATAATACAAGACTGTTATGGAGATATGTGAAATGCCATCTATTTAATTCGTACAATCAGGGGATGAGAGTAGAACGGTGCTCCTTTCCTAATGGAGGGAATAAATAATTTACAAAGTGTTTCTGCATAAACAATATTGATATCACCGATTTCTACCAATAAAACACAAAATAAACCACAGTCGAAGAGGAAGATCTTGAAGGAGGGAATGGGAGGGGCAAGGTGGAGAGGCTCTGGAATGGACTTCCAGAGGGTGGGGCAGAAAGGCTGAAGGCCTGACCGCCAAAGGTGGGTTGGGCAGGGTACATGAAGCAGGCCAGTGCCCATTGAGCAGAGGGAGCGGGCAACAACAACAACTTGCACTTATATAGCGCACTCCATGCAAGGTAGCCGGGGAGGGGGGCAGTGGAGGTGGCCATAAGCACGAAGAGGAAAGTGTTCATGCAGGACTTCAGATATTACAGCGATTGAGAAGATACAGAAGCGGGCAACCAAAATGATTGAGGGGAGAGAGAGGGCAAGGCAGAGGGATTGAGGGAGAGTGTTTTCAGAGTTTTGGGGCTTAGTGGGTGAAAGCGAGACCTCTAATGGTGGGGCGGAGGGTGCGAGGGATGAGCAGGAGGCTGGTGCCAGTCAAGCAGAGGCACTGGGTGGTGGATTGGGGAGTGAATGGATTTGAACTCGGGTCAGTATGCGGGCAGCAGAGTTTTGAACGAGCTGGATCTTATGAATGGTGGAGCTGGTGATCTGGTGAGGAGAGCATTGGAGTAATCCAGGCGGGAAGTAACAAACGCATGCACGAGGATTTTGGCTGCATTTGGGGTGAGGTATGGTTGAAGGCGGAGGTGGAAGAAAGCGGTTCTGGTCAGGGACTGCATGTGGGGGAGGAAGGACAGTTGGGGGTCGAACCGGATGCCGAGATTGCACACTGGTTCGGTGTGCGTGAGGGAGAGCCCAGGGAGGTTGAGGAGTTTAGTTCCACAGGAGTGAAGACATTGACAGGAGCCAAGGAGTATGGCTTCCGTCTTGTCCATATTCAGTTGCAGGAAGTTTACACTCATCCAGGCCTTGATGTCTGCCAGACAAGCTGATAGAACATCAGCGGACATGAAGTCAATGCTGGAGGAGACAAAGTAGATTTGTGTGTCATCTGCATACATGTGGAAGTTTACCACATCTGTGGACAACATCGCCCAGAGGAAGCATATAGATAAGGAAAAGAAGAGGGCTAAGGATGGAGTCCTGGGGTTTCCCGCAGGTGACCGGGCGGGTCAGGTGGAGAAACCATTTGCCGAGATGTAATGGAGGCAGTTGGTTAAGTAGGACTCGAACTATGCGAGTGCAGTCCCACTACGGTGGATGAGGGAGGAGAGACGATGGAGGAGGATGGCGTGATCGACTGTGTCAAATGCAGCAGAGAGATCCGGAGTATGAGGAGGCAGAGGGAGCCCAGAGGGAGCAGGTTGGTAACATAAGCTGCAGAGCTCTGAATAATCCGCAGCTTCTGGAGGGAAGAGTTGGGAATCGGCGAGCAGGGGATTAGCATAGTCAAGCCCTAACAATTTGAAGCGGGTATTTGGGGCTAACCTTTCCCCTCCTTAGCTTTGTGAGGCAGAGGGGAAAATAAAGGAAATCTAGCATAAAGCTGCTCACACCTCAACTGATAAAAGTTTCTCTGTTTCTCCAAACACGGATGTTGGTGGTGAAACAGCCATGACTGATTTGGTACCAGTCAGTTCAGGTTTAGGAGGGAAGCCAGTCATGCCGGGCTTGGAAATCCAATGTTGCAGTTGATCTGTTCCAACAAAGCGATCAAAGGACACCCCGGTGTCTTTTAAAGTACACAGAAGGAAGACATTACAGTGTGCAAACCTTATGTGTCTGTTATTCTGAGTTTTTTTAACTGGCTTATCAAAAGAGTCGTTGCTTTTTGAAATTGAAATCTGCTGGAAGGTTTCAGGTTTCATGTTTTGCATATCCCTGGCCTTACAAATACTTAATATTGATGCATGGAAGTTTACAGCGCACTGCACCTGTTCAGCAAAATCAGCGGTCAGCAGAGTAATATTAGGGGTAGAGGCACAACCACCAGTTGCTTGATGACTATGCAGAGAGATGGAATCGTGTCCTTCAGCACTGGCTTGTGATATGCAAGTGGACTATTTTCCTCCACTTTGTACATTGACCCCACTTAATGCCAACAATGCCTTTTGCACCTTTCCTCTGTCCTCATGTATCCAGCACACTTAATTGAGGGATGAGTGAGGTAAAGTAGTGCAGGACTGAGTATTACTTGTTATCTATTTTTGAATACCAGCCAGATGGACATACTGTATTAACTTTTAAATACTGGAGAGATGATCTGCAATGCTCCCAGGCTTGTACATTTTTATTTTCCCATTGATAAAGAATCTAATCTCTTCTTTCAGTTGCCAAGCTGTTTTCCGCTTTTTGAACGCAAGACACCTGAAGTAATGCAGCTTCCAAAACAAGCATCAGAGGGACTATGATTCCAGTGCAATGAAACATTAATACATTTGGTCTAAAATTCTTTGTTTTTAACTGTATTCTGCTTTATGACCACTAGATGTTCTCTGTAGCCTGTGTTTTTCACTGAGGCTGAGAAGATAAGAGATGTTGAAGGGATGCAAGTGGATGAATAGGAGTCGATTATTTGAAATGCTTCGAGTCAGCAACACAATTAAAATAATCAGCAAAGGAATTACAGGGAAGATTGGAAAATAAATCATTACACAGAAGATAGTTGGAATGTGAATTGTTTACCGTAAACTTTTGCCAAAGCAGAGTCCATACATTTAAAAAGGAAATAGATCACTGAAAAGGGAAAAGGAGTTCTTTTCATTAGATGTCTCATGAGGATAAAAGTAACAGCATGTGCTTGATGGACTAAATGGCCTATTTCTGTTCTGCTAATATTCTATGATTAAAGAAGCAATATGGAGCCGAAATAGTGGGAATCCTACCACTTTATAAATTATTGGTGTAACCACACTTGGAATAATGTGTGCAGTTCTGGTCACTGCTATAATAATCCTTGCATTTGATATAGCGCCTTATCACGTCTTTGAGATGTCTCAATATAAAAAGTATATTGCAGCGATTGAGAAGATACAAGAGGGCAACCAAAATGATTGAGAGGATGGAGGAACCAGACTATGAGGAGCGATTAGTTAAAACTGGGCATGTTCACACTAGAGAAGGCTGCAGGGCCTTATCATTACGGTCTTTAAGATTCTGAAGGGAATAGATAAGCTGTTTTATCTTTTGTCTGTGGAACCAGAGGACAAGGCCTGCGATTGAAGGGGGGTAAATTCAGAACAAATCTCTGGAGCTCAACATATTGATCATTCACAAGATAAATGATTCCTTGTTCAGCAGTAAACTCCGAGATAGAGTTTGATGAAATATGCTCAACCAATTTCTCCAGCTCCGTAAAAACCAAACATTTTCCATCACCTTGGAATGGAAACACTGCTGGATATCAGCAGCACGTTTTGTGTTCCTATTTGAATAACCAACAATTCACTCTCATTACTAACAGCCCAGGAGGTTTTACATTTCTTGCAACGTTAGGCTTCTTTAGCAAAGGAAAAATAGTCTTACTGTATCCATCTCTACACTTAACCATACACCATTTACCATTCAGATTTATAATGAAGAGAATGCAAAAGTCCTCTGGAAGGAAAGGTCATAGTTTATTAGTTAAACCCAATGAAGATCATGAAATCATGCCTCTCTGTTGAATGATAGTTTGATCAGTAACATTTTTATTGTATATGGACAGGTTTCATAAGTTCTGAAGGTGCAACGTTTGAATAATTGTGCATTCTCATTAAACATCTATTTCAGTGCGAGTTGGACAATGCGATTGTTTTTCCATTTTACATTGTAAGGAGTGATTGGTAAGATCAATGATCAGTTCTGTTTCCATGATCCACATTTGACAAGATACTCCTGTGTTAAGTTTGCTTTTAAAGGCAAGCAGCTCCTCTCGTCATCATGTGCTCTCTTATATTGAGTTCAAGA